AGGTAATGGGCACTTTTCAGGAATTTTATTCTCATGGCACATTCGAGAAATCATTAAATGCATCTTTTATAGCTCTTATTCCTAAGAAGAACAACACCTCTGACATTAAGGACTTTCGGCCAATCAGTTTAGTGGGGTGTATGTATAAGCTTATTGCCAAGGTCCTTGTTCTTAGAATGCGGACTGTTTTGGATGGAATCATCTCAGAGTCACAAAATGCTTTTGTTGGTGGTAGACATATTTTAGATTCTGTTCTTATTGCAGGATAATGTGTCGATTCCAGGTTGAAGAGTGAAGTTCCTGGTGTTTTATGCAAACTAGATATCGAGAAAGCTTATGATTGCGTGAATTGGAAATTTCTTCTTTATTTGCTTCGGAGATCGATGGAAAAAATGGATTGAATCTTGCATCTCATCAGTTATGTTCTCTGTGCTTGTGAACGGCTCTCCTGCTGGTTTTTTTCCGAGTTCGCGTGGTTTGAGACAAGGAGATCCTTTGTCGTCTTTTCTTTTTCTTATTGTCATGGAGGGATTGAGTAAATTAATGAAAAAGGCAGAGAATCTGGGTTACATAAGGTGGTTCACTGTTGGTAGAGATGTTGCTAACCAAATCGAAATATCTTATTTGTTGTTTGCAAATGATACCCTGGTTTTCTGTGATACTGATGTTTCCCAACTCAGGTATTTGAGGTGCATTCTTACATGCTTCCAAGCAGTGTCTGGTTTTAAGATTAATGTTGGAAAGAGTGTGCTTGTCCCAGTGGGGGAGGTTTCTAATATTTCCACTTTAGCTGCTGTTCTTGGATGTGGAGTGGGTGCCTTTCCACTCCCTTATCTGGGCTTACCTTTGGGAATCTCCTCTAGGATAGTGGGGACTTGGGATTCGGCGATTAACAGGTATGAAAAAAGATTGGCGGGGTGGAAAAAACAGTATCTTTTGAAAGGGGGGAAGGTCACTCTTATTAAGAGCACCCTCTCGTCCCTTCCCACATATTTCTTATCTCTATTTCAGATCCTGTGTTCTGTTCCTGAACGAATTGAAAAAATTCAGAGAGATTTTCTTTGGGGTGGAAAAGGAGAGGAGTTTAAGTATCATCTTGTTAATTGGGAGCAGGTTTGCAAACCGTTGAAGTTTAGTGGTTTAGGTATCCGGAAGTTAATCCCTTTCAATAGAGCCTTATTGGGGAAGTGGTTATGGAGATTCGGTAAAGAACGTCATCGACAATGGAGAAGAGTTATCTCGTCTCGTTTTGGGGAAGAGAGTCGAGGTTGGTCCTCTCGTCCTGTTTCTATTACCGGGGGCATTGGCGTTTGGAAGTACATTAGGAAAGGTTGGGATGTGTTTTCCACCCATATTCAGTTCAAGGTTCGTAATGGTATGTATGTTAGATTTTGGGAAGACTTATGGTGTGGTGATCAGTTGTTATCTCTTTCTTTTCCTCGTCTCTTTAGCATTGCCGAGAATAAGCATGCTTTTGTAATTGACTGTTATCATCTTGATAACAGTGGAGTTACGTGGGATGTGCGTTTTAGGCGTTCCTTTCAGGATTGGGAGATAGCTGAAGTTTGCGTCTTTTTGGACTTGTTGTATAGACAGAAAGATGTTGGCAGAGGTTGTGATGATATTTTGTGGACTCCCTCTTTTCATGGTAGATTCGAAGTTCGATCCATGTTCTTGTGTTTGTCTAATTTTATTGGATATGATTTCCCTTGGAAGTGTATTTGGCGTTCTAAAGCTCCTCTTAGAGTTGCCTTCTTTGTTTGGACTGCTACTTGGGGAAAAATTTTAACATTGGATATTCTGCGTAAGAGAGGTAATACAATTGTTAATTGGTGCTGTCTTTGTAAAAATGATGGTGAGTCCGTGGACCATCTTCTTATGCATTGTCCTGTTGCATCTGATTGCTGGAATCTTATATTCAGTATTTTTGGCGTTCAGTGGGTAATGCCTAAGCACTCTTTCCAATTAATTAATGCTGGGAGAAGATGCCCTATTTCTGGTCATGCTCGTGATTTTTGGAGGGTCGCCCCACATTGTGTTTGGTGATGTATTTGGAGAGAGAAATAACAGAAACTTTGAAGGGAAGGAATCGTCTTTTGCAAACCTTAAGCCTTTTATCCTACGCTCTCTTTTCTGTTATGTCAGAGGCAGAGCTTGCTCCTCGATCGATGACTTTTTTATTCTGTTGGACTCTGTTGGTCCATAGGTTTGGCTTTTGCTCTTTGGTTTTTGTGTATTAGGCAGTGTTATTAAAAGCGCGCCTGGGCGCACGCCGAGGCGCAAGGCGCCTACAGGCGCACCTCATGCTAGCCCAGGCGCAGCGACCTTCACTAGGCGCGCGCCTGGGCTGCGCCTTGGATATTTTAAGAGGCGCGCTTAGGCGCGCTTCATATATTCTATGCTCCTTCAAATATTTGTTTGATGTATTACGTGTATGTTTGCTTGTTTAGTTTATATTATTTTATATATATATATATATATATATATATATATATATATATATATATAGTTACAGCTTTTGGAAACTGAAAGAGTACAAAATGGAAACTTAAAGTACAAAAAGAAAAGGCTGCAGCAGAAATACAAAATGGAAATGTCTCCCAACAGTCAACAAAACAAATCAGTCAAAGAGCAAAGGCTGCAGCAGAAATAAAGACGTCTGGGAGTGGGAAAGAGAAAGAGAAGAGAGAGAAGAGAGAAAGAAAGAGAAGAGAAGAGCAGAGAAGAGGAGAGGGCTACTAGTCCGGCCGGCCAGGAATCACCTAATCAATTTAACAGGTCAGTTTTGTTTTGTTTTGTTTTTTTTCCTTCTCCAGTTCTCCTTTTCTCTTCTCCTCTTCTCTCTCTCTCTTCATTTGCTCTTAATCTCTATATCTCAGCCTTTAATTTTTTTTTTTTTTTCTTCTTCTTCTCTATTTCTCTGATTTTCTTCTTTCTTTTTCTGGGTCTATCAGATTAACAGGTCAGTTTTTTTTTTCCTTCTCCAGTTCTCCTCTCTTCTCCTCTTCTGTCTCTCTCTTCATTTGCTCTAATCTCTATATCTCGCCCCTTTTCTTTCTTTTTTTTTTTTCTTCTCTATTTCTCTGATTTTCTTCTTTCTTTTTCTGGGTCTCTAGTAGACTGGAAATTTTTTTTTTCAGGTCTTTTATTTTTTTTCTTCTATCTTTTTCTCTATCTCTGTATATTTTTTTTTTCTTCTTTTTTTTTCTCCGGCTCTGTTTCTGTTCTTCTGGGTCTTTTTTTTTCTTCCTCTCTCTCTATATATCTGGTTTTGTGTTTTTTTAGCTTTCTTTTTCTGGGTCTTTTTTTTTTTTTTTTTCCTTCTATCTTTTTCTCCATCTCTGTTTTTGTTCTTGTGGGTCTCTGTTTTTTTTTTCTTTCTTTTTCTTCATCTACTCCTCTCCCGTGTCTTGCTATATATATATCTATATAATTTTTTTTTTTGTTCTCTTTGGCCTGTATTTTTTTTCTCGTTGTATTTTTTTCCATCATTTTCAACTTCTTGGTGTATAGCTGTAAATCTGTACGCTCTTCAATCTTCATCATCATCAGTCTTCAGCAAACATAATTTGCAGTGCTATATTACCCGTAGGAGAATCAGTACACCACCTCACCCTTTAATAAAGAAATACTGAACAGAATAAGACTTTTTAAAATTATTATTTTTTTTGTTGTCTGTTGCATCTTAATTGCTGTAAAATTTCAGACTCTGTTTTTGTTCTCTCTAGCCTTCATTTTTTTTCCCTTCATCTACTCCACCGTATTTTCTTTCTTTTTTTTTTTTTTCAATCTCTGCTTTGAAGGCTGTTTGTCTCTTTTTTTTTTTTTTTTTGTGTTCTGCTGAATTTTGCTACATGGATTATTTAAATTTTGAATGCATCTTTTTGAATGGTGTTTGCTGAAAGTGTGAATGTTGTTTGCTGAATTTAACTTGGTCCATCACTCCATTGACTCCATTCTATTTCTCATTGTAAATACTAAATAGATAGGAAAAAATGTCAAAGGATCTAGCTTGGAATTATTGTCACCTGCAAAACCCACAAGATAGGAATGCAACATGTAATTTTTGTGAAAAAGTTATGAAAGGGGGTATTTACAGGGCTAAACAACACATTGTAGGAGGACATAGAAATGTACAAGCATGTAAAAAGTGCCCTGAACATGTGGAAGAGGAGATTAGAGAATACATGAGCAAGAAGAAAGAAGAAAAGGAATACAAAAATTTGTTGCCGGATTTTGGTGACATGGATGATCAAGATGAGGATGATGTTGCAATTATTGATGTTAAGGGTAAAAGAGTGACAAGTGGAACTGGAAGCAATAATATTCAATCAAAAAAGCAGAAGCAGAAAGGTCCTATTGATTTGTACTTCACCCCTCCTCCGGAAGTGGCTGTGCAATATAGAAAAAATGACAAGGGTAAGCAAACAACAATTGACAGTGCTTGCAAGAAAGAACTTAGAAACCGAGCATGCCAACGGTTTGCAAGATGGATGTATGATGCCGGGATATCATTCAATGCCCTTAATTATGATAGTTTTGCACCAGTTGTTGAAGCTATTGGCCAACATGGTCCAGGAATGAAACCTCCGTCTTATCATGAGGTGAGAGTTCCCCTCCTCAAGAAAGAACTGGAGCATACAGACAATTTAATGCGAGATCATAAGGAGGAATGGGCAAAATACGGATGCACAATTATGGCAGATGGATGGGAGGATAAAAGACAGAGGTGTTTGATTAATTTTCTGGTGAATTGTCCTAAAGGGACAATGTTCATTCAATCTGTCGATGCTTCCTCTTATTCAAAGACCGGTGAAAAAATGTTCGACTTGCTTAACAAGTTCGTGCAGCAAATTGGAGCAACAAATGTGGTTCAAGTAGTCACTGATAGTGCATCTTCTAATGTTGTGGCAGGTATAGATGTCAATATGCACTTGATGTCAAAATTTTAGGTTTATTGCTTCTAGCCTTCTATTAATCCAAATTTTCTTTCTTTACAATAGGAAGAATGTTGGAGGGAAGGCACCGACATTTGTATTGGTCACCTTGTGCTGCACATTGTGTGGACCTGATGTTGGAGGACATTGCTAAGATCCCAAATATAATGATGACCATAAAGAGAGCTATAATGTTAAATGGTTATATTTATAACCGTTCGGGTTTGTTAAACATGATGAGGCGTTATACTGGACATAAAGAGTTGCTTAGACCTGCAACGACTCGATTTGCCACTTCATTTATCACATTATCAAGCATCCATCGTCAAAAGGATTGCTTGAGGAAGATGTTCACTTCACAAGAATGGACCTCCAGTAAATGGGCGAAAGAGATACAAGGGAAAAATGTAGCACATATTGTGTTGATGCCTTCATTTTGGACAAGCATTGTGTACTCTCTCAAAGTAGCAAGCCCTCTTGTTCGTGTACTTAAGTTGGTTGATGATGAGAAAAGGCCTCCAATGGGATATATTTATGAGGCTATGGAAAGGGCTAAAGAAGCGATAGCTAAAGCTTTTGGTGGGAATGAGGAGAAGTATAAGGACATCTTTGAGATCATTGATAGAAGGTGGAATATCCAACTCCATCGCCCTTTGCATGCAGCTGGGCATTTCTTAAACCCAGAATATTTTTATAGCAATCCAAATATTGAGCAAGATGAAGAAGTGATGGGTGGTTTATATCAATGCATAGAAAGATTGGTTCCAACCACTGAAGTGCAAGATAAAATTTCTTTGGAGTTGAGTAGATATATGAAAGCTGATGGTCTATTTGGCTCATCAATTGCTATTAGACAAAGAAAGTCAAGGGCACCAGGTAAACAACTCAATTAATCATTTTTTAGTATATTTGAATTTTAATTTTGTTAATTTTTTACTAATAATATGTAAATAACAGCCGATTGGTGGTCCGCATATGGTTCTACAACTCCTAATTTGCAAAAATTTGCTATTAAAGTACTTAGCCTCACATGTAGCGCATCTGGGTGTGAACGAAATTGGAGTGTATTTGAACATGTAAGTTTGTAGTATTAGTAATTCAATGATAAAAAATTATATTATAAATAGTTATACACTTATACTCATTAATTATTTGAATTAATGCAGCTTCATAGCAAGAAGAGGAACCGGCTAACTCAATGTCGATTGAATGATTTGGTTTTCATCAAGTATAATAGAGCACTAAAACGACGATATGATATGCGTGATAGGATCGATCCAATCCTTTTAAATGATATAGATGATAGCAATGAGTGGTTGGTTGGAATAATGGATGAAGATGTAGATGCCGAAAATGAGTCTGTGTTTGAAGATGACTCTTTGACATGGGGTGCAGTTGCTAGAGGTATTGGGGCTAGAGAGTCCAGCCATAATTTAAGATCAAGATCAGCTCCAAGGGCAACAAAGAGGACAACACCTTCATGCTCGTCTTCACTACGAATCATAGATGATGACGAGGCAAACTCTGAGGACACAGAAGAGGAAGAAGATGCCGAGGGTTACAAATCTTTTGATGGGGACGATGATGAGACTATGTTGTTTGGTGAAGAGGGTGATATTTAGGTCCCTTAAGATTGTTTGGTAACTTTGGTTTTAGGAGTCCTTGCTAAAACTCAAAACTGAAACTGATATTTTGTTGCTTGGTTTATAAATTTGGTAGGCTACTAAGTATTGACTATGATACTTTATAGATTTGGTAGGCTACTAAGTATCTTTTGATGGATCTGTTTTGGAGTCAAATGATAGCTTTTGCTTAAGACATCAAGTATAAATTTATAATATATGGTTAATTGGTTTATGTTTTGCTTTTTTTGAATCTTTCTTATGAATAAATAGCTTTATTAGTTTAATTGTTCTATTTTTCTAGTTGCTTTATTGGTTTAATTGTGATATATTTAGACTAATTTAGTGTTTTTATTATTGGATGTTCATTGTTTAATTGTGTTATTTTTGTTAACAATTATTGTTTTAAAATTTTACTTGTGCGCCTCACATCACTCAGGCTCGCGCCTCGCTGTGCGCCTTGCGCCTAGGCTCCAAGGGACCTCTAGCGCCTCGGTGCGCCTTGGGCTTTTAATAACTATGGTATTAGGGACGCGTTCCCCTGTTGAATGTCTTTCTAATATATTTTTACTTATAAAAAAAAAATAGTGTGGTGTTTTGAAATTATATCCCTTGTTATGTTATAAACATCCCTTTCCTCTTCTTTTAACAAATAATAAAGAAAGTTGTGTGTTTCTTTTGCCCTTAAAGTCAGTCACCATTGATGAATACAATTATTATACCTTTTTTACATTTACTACGTATATGTATTATTTTTTTCCCTAGCAGACTAGGGGGAGGGGGGGACTCAAACATTGGCACACCCGCTCGAGGAGCTGGGCGCTCTACCGACTAGGCCACTGGGTAATAGAATGAGTTAATTGGTTCAATAGGTTCTGGTTAAATTTTGAAGTGCTATTAAAAATCAATTCAAATTTGGGTCAGGACGCCATGTTATACACAAAACATCATGGTATGAGTGGGTAGGGAGCAGCACTTAAAAAAATAATGTGGGTAGGGGATGCAGCCATTTCTACAATTGTTATATTCTCTCTTCGGTACAAAACTGATGTGGGATAGCTTTAGAAGTTTTAATTGCTATTTACTTTCTGAAGCAATGCTCAACACTGTCCACTCATTGCATTAGTTTTTTGTTTACAACAGTTTTGTTTACGTCATGGGATGAATGAACATGCCGGCATCTCGGCTCTTTGTTCCCACATTCCCACTTAGAAATTCCTGATAAAACAATGTATAATGCTTCCTCTAAAAGAAACAGAAGATATAATGATATAGATCAAGGCCATTGGAGTGTAGCGACATAATACCCTATTGTCACAAACATAACTCAGGATAAAGGTGGCGGTTAATGGTGCATCATGCCAATCCCAGTAGGTGTAGGGCAGAGTTGGGCACATTGATATTTGGGTTGCCATCTTTAGCCTCGAAATGGAATCTCAGCATGATAAGATCACCGGTTCGATAGTGAATGATGCAGCTAAAAGTTGGAGTGGAAGATAAACCAGGAAACTGTTGGGAGAACAACGGAAAGCGCTACTCTAAGCTGAAAGAAATCCAGCAACTAAAGTAGTCTTAAGAACATAGAATGCTGGCCCTATAATTTGGTCTTCATTGATATATGTGGAATTTGACCTGGTATTGGGTACCCCACGGATACTGGGAATATAGTACCCCCACTCAACTAAGCAGCACGGACACTTATGTGAAGGTGCCATGTCCAACACTCCATGGACACTCCTAGACACGTGTCCGACACTTCATGGCTATGTCCATTATTTAAAAATTAATTTTATTACTTAGGACACTTTTGGCTGACACATCTTGGACGCTTGATCAACACATTCCGAACACTGGACCAACACATCCACTCATCCTACGCTCTTCAACTTATATAAAACAAACACTTGAAACTCGTAGAAATAACATTATGAACATACATCAAAATGTTCGGCCTCTAAAGGAACAAAAATATAACTATAATGACAAGATAGGATAGTAATAGCTTATATAATAGAACATATTCTTTTTAATATTCAATTAGAGTTATCTTCTAATATATGTAACTTTAGTATAGAATTTATAAATTAATTAAAGCTCAATGATTGTCTCACTCATTAGATATATAGACGAAAATTTACATTGATATTAGCCGTGTTTGTGTCCTAACTTTTTAGAATTTGGTGTGTCGGCGTATCCATGTCGTATCGTGTCCGCGTCCGTATCCGTGCTTCTTAGCCACCAAATAAGGAATTCTCGTTTCCTATTATCAAGGGAATATATAGTTTTGATTGGGTGGGGATACTACAAAGTATGTACCCTGGAGGTATCGAAAAATTTTCCGTGGAATTTTTATAACACGCAATTCATGCACTTGATTCTCTAAAAGTATGAGAATTATTATTATGTATATATTGTAAGGCTCTGTTTGCTTTGTGGTTTTGGGGAAAGAAGGAAAAGATGGTGTAAAGAAAAACATTTTTCTTTGTTTGTTCACCATTGAAAAATGAAGAAAAGAAAATATGATGTGCATTGGGAGAATTCTTTTTTTTTTTTTTTTTCCTGCTCTCTTAACGATTTCTTTTAGAAAGTTTTAAATTCTAAGATTGTTCGAAGCAGAAGAGGAAATCAGAGGTAATTATTTCTTTTCTTTTTTATTTCTGTTTCCAACCTGACCCAGTTACAAGACATGCAGTGTAAAAGGCTAATTAAACTTGTTAATTTTATTAATTAATTCTCTTCAAAACTTTAAACATATGCTACTACGAAATTGCCTTTGAAGGAAAATGAACACCAATTCTGCCCTTAACTGACACTAAATGATTGGGTTAAATTTTTATTTAGCTGAGTTGAGATAATATATTAATAAATTTATTAGTATAAAAGTTATATTCTAGAGTCTATGGATGTAGATTCTAATTATATGTTTCATGACAAGAAAGGACCATTGATTTCAGGGATTGTGGAATAATTTTACGTTAATGACAGTTTTGTGTGAATTAAACATGGATAGCTGTGGCTGTTTCACATGATAGTAATATGGGATGAGAAGCTTATAGTGGTTTTAATAAATTGAAATAGATTTTGAACTTGTGTGGTTTTACTTTTCTCTTTCCACACCGCATACAGTTAGCTTAATATGAACATTATCATGATTTCCATGCATTAATACTTCAAATTACAGGCTACAGAGACGACGGGAGGCAGAGGAGAGAAGATCTAGTGAAAAGAAATTGGACAGAAGATCTTGAGCCATTCATTGTGCGTCTTTACCATGAAACTATCACACCCCCCAACATCAAGTCAGATGGGATGGCTCCGTACAATGTTGTGACTCGTAGGCTTGTATTCTGTGGTCAGATAAAATTTTTTGTACATGGGCAGAACGAAAATGCATTTCTATCTTGATTATTGCCTTATAATTTTTTCTGTAACTGTTGATGAATCACATCCTTTTTCTTCCCCTAGAGTGGTTGGTGAATCACATCCTTTTTCTTCCCCCGAGGCAGTGCCTATTCTAACGGGCAAAGTGCTTCATTTCTTCTCTCTTTTTCTTCCCCTTCCCGTTAATTAAGATAATCCTATAGTGCTCCCAGTTGTTTAATTTTATATAGTGAATCAATCAAAATTTTCTTCAATCTGGTACTTCGCGGGAGGTGTGGTCATAGTTTTTAATTATAGATATTGTTTAGAAAAATAGTGACTTTTGGTACTCTTTTCCTAGTAAGCTTTGTACTTCCAAAAGGTTCCTAGTTCCTGTCGATGATCAATCGGTTGTTCTGGTCTAATTCATGTTGGATACCACGTGTTTGCCATACTTATGAAGAATCATATAAATTGGAAGGTTATGTTCCATTAGTACTGGACTTTCTTTTTGACATTGCAAAATGAGTGTGATCTTCACTTCCAGAATTCTCTGTTTCTTGTGTATTGGAACTGGGTAGATGTTGACTCCTGGATTTCTCTGTTTTAGGTGTAACCTTGACCCCACTTTCAATATTGCCAAGATTGATAATGAGAACTGAATCTTTTTAGATGGTTTACATATATACAAATCATTACAAATATGTATCAGTAGTCAATTCTTGTGTTTCTTTCCCGTCAAAATCAACCTTCACATGCTCAATCAAATCCCGAGCCGAAAGGAATCTCTTTGAAAATAATTGAAAAGAAGGTATGACCCTACCCTTTGTCGTCTCCATCACCACAGGTTCTATTACTTTGTCTCAACTTTCTTAATTTTGTAGGCAGTCTTCATATTAAGAATTGGTCACTCCTCGCTTTATTGCTGTCCTACTAGGATTATGTCTGGCCAATACCTCGGTCAGGGTCAAAGGTATCTATCAATAAAATCATTATTGGTTCCACCTAATCCTATATTGGACGATTGATAGGGAAGAAATTCACAGTAATCTATGTCATGTTTACAAGGACTCTTGTAGGACACATGTTATAACAATGGTTTTGTTTGAGTTATACACTCTTATTCTGAGTTTGCCTATGATTGTATATACAACTGTTGCGCCCTTGCATATATTTTAAAATGACTTTAACCCTTAGGTTTGAAGGCAAAGTGTAGACTTGGAACTTTCTTTTTTCCTGCATGAGTGGAGCTAGTGTGTGAAAAGTTGAAACAGGCTTCAATTACATGGCTAATTGTCTTTTTTTATTTTTATTTATTTTTATTTTTTATTTTTAGAATTGGATTTCATGTATACGTATAAATATGTTACCGTGATTGTCCAAGTTTTGATTGTTTTCCTGTGGTTTACTAAGTAACTCCTTGATTTCATCATCCTTCGTCTCATTTATCATTAGTGATGTTGCGCGGAGATCTGTTGCTCTAAATTTTGGTAGTATTTGTGAGTCTGGACTATTATTTTGGGATGGAGGAAGTATATTTTTAGCATATTTAAATTTACTTTTTTTTAGTAAGATAAAATGTGTTAAAAATTGGATTTAACATGTTGAAATTTAGATGTAGTGGGTTCAAAATGTGTGGACTCTATGAACGTCCAAAAGTAGTAGTTTTTGCATTTTCTAGGTGTTGGAACTATCGTAATATATTCAAAGAATGATATACTCCGTATATTTTCAACTTGAAATTAAGAGAATCTCTTTTACTAGGACAGACCTGGTACACGCTTTTGTCAAAGAAGATACAAACTTCCGTGTTATCTATTAAAATTTTATTGTTACTATTTTTATTTTTATTTTTTTATGATATATATATATATATATATTCTTGTACAAATGCTTTTTTCTAATCCATATGTGGTGGCATTGTATTTTTCTCGATCAACAAGTTGTTACATTTTTTATTTTTTATTTCTTCTAGTTGATACTCACACCTTCTTCAAAAAATTATTTGCACCCAAAAAGATTGAACCATGGCTAACTTCTTATCCACTTAGAGCCAATGTCTTGGATGAAGTTGGTACATTGTTTTGCAGAGGAAGAAAGAGAAGTTGCTATGTCCACCTCTTATTAGTTAATTGTTGCATTGCCATGACCTCCTTAAAGTGGCCTAACCTCATCTAGATATGTTTTGCTTTTAGCTTTGTAGATTGGTCCCAGAATTATTTGTTCTATTACATTTATTTATTTATTTTTAGTTAAGCAACACACACTAACACGCACATCTACACTTTCTTCCAATGAGTTTCTCATTTTTATACTTAATGGAAAGGCAATAATCCTTATCCTGTAACGTTAATGAATCCTTCATTTCTTAATCTGTTTTTTAATCCCTTCACTCTTACTTTTCCTTTTTCTATGCATAGGAATGCTCAATCTAGTCATAGAAAGACATTGTCATGGTGATACTGTCTTCACCATAAACTTACCATCTGCTAAAACTCACCTACAATACCAGAGCTTAAACATACATAAATCCAAAGCAGATGTAATGTATATTCATGAACTGACATTATAGTTGAGTTTAAATAATTTATTAAAATTAAGGAAAATATTAAAGGTTCCAATGAGATCTTATTATTGACTGAACTAAACACTTTAAAATGAGAGTGACTCTTCATAATTGATTATTGTGCAAGAGTTCTTTGTTTAACATAATCTAATTCCGCGTTGTAGCTTTATTCTTTAAATGAAAAATTAAAAAGAGAGTATCTTTTGTATTGATGTTCTTTTTATATGCAATTATTTTAGGGTTTGTTGAGTTGGTGATTGGCAGTGGAGGCAAGAAACCATGAATTTGGCTACCTCAGCAGGGGAAAAGGTGAAAATTTTAGATTGTAGTAATTATTTTACGTTTGTAGTACCATACAGAGTCCACAAACATATATGTGTGTGTGTAGCATGTACTAGTATGTATGATAAAAGTAAAACTCCGTAAAAGGGCTCGGCTATCAATGCTGCTTGTCTTGGCATAAAAAATATAGACGTTGAAGATTTGTACAGTACTACTACTGCTCCTCCACACGTTGGGGCTTAGTCAGACACTGTTTATTTTAAACATTACCGCCATCTGAATGTAATATATGTATGTATTTAATGATTTCTGACATTTTATTCAATTCTTTGTCCTTATTTGATAAAGATATTAAAGAGGAAGGGAATAAAACATGATTGTTATGTTATATAAAGTAAATTCATTGTTATAATAAATAAAGATGGGAATATACCTAACTCATGCTTGTTTCATAATATGAAATTGGTATATTAGAAGAAAAAATAATTCAATTATTTAACAATTTTTTTTTTTTCGCACGGTAAATAACATCTCCTTCTTACTTTATCTTCTCCTTTCCTTCCATCTCTCTTGTACTATATATCTAAGGAATTAAATCTATCATCGTTATAATGGTCAAAAGCTTAAGCTCATGTAAAATGAAAAGCAAATTGAAGAAAAAGGAAAAACAGAGAAGGATTGATGCTTCCATGATGCCAAAAAGGGCCTAGCTTTAATGCTTGCTTTAGCCCACCTAAATGCTTTCAGTAGTCATGGACCACCTTCATCTCTTCATAGGATAAAGACACAGCTTTTTCTCCACCTTTTTTCTTAATTTAAACTTTTGTATTTTACTTGTTTTAACGTGAATAAATGGTAGCTAATGAAGTACCTAAAATCTTTCCCTGCTTGTGTACTGTAAATAAAAACCCTAGTTCGGCGTACATTATGGAAAATATTTTATTTATTTTTTCAATGACAAGAAATTTTAATTAGAAAAACTCTGATTTTTCAGGCTAGTCTATCAGGTTAGTTTCTAGAGTTCTGTTTTAAATTTTAAGCCAAACAAAACTTGACCAATTATTGCATGCTGAATATGTTTGGTGAAACTATGTGGTTTCAAAGTTTAATTTGGAATAAAAACTTTATCCTTAAACTCCAATTCATAAAGTTTCGATACTATTATTAATTTAGTGCTAATTTTTTTATTTTTTATTATTATTATTTTTTTCCTAGTTGGGACTCACACACACTGTTTTCACTGAGATTCGAACCCCTAATCTCCCTTTGGGAAGTATGAGCTTTGTATCGCTAAGCCATAGGCCTGTTGGTTAGTGTTAAATTTAATAAGCTTTGTTATTAAAAACTTAGTAACAAACTCTGATTAAGCCAATTTGGAATAACAAACCAGAAAATGTAATTTATTATTATTTTATTTTTAAATGATGTATTGCTTTAGTTGATTTGAGTGTTTATAAATTTTGATAACCAGGATAAAAATTAGTCACCAAGTCAACATCATCGAGTCACAAGTGGTAAACAAATTTTTGAAAAAAAAAATTGAATTGGTAATTATATACCCTAATTTTACATTAAATTATCAACCATTGTAGTAAATGAAGGATGATAGAATTAACTACAAAAAAGAAGAAAAAAAGAAAAAAAGAACACAATTGAAGTTAATTATTAGATACTTGAGGTGTCTTGTTAATATCAAACATAATAATGATCATTGATGTATTATGTGTGGTTTAATAAATGTTTGGACAACAATTTAATAAAAGAGGAAACAAATCCACAATCCAATTTTATTATTATTAATTTTTTATTAAATGAGAGAAATATTCTTGATATAAATAATTTAGTTGTTCAAATGAATATTCTTTATCAAAGGCGGTGTAGTCTTTCCTCGTCTTCGAAGAAAAAAGATCATGGATCAAGTTCCCGTAGAGACATTATGGGTGTGTTAGTGTTTCTTGTCCATGACCAAAATAATAAAAAACCTTCTTTAGTATAATCTTAGTCATGCCACCAAACAAGTACAAAATAAAAGAAAAAGACGGATGACTAAATCATGGTTTCAAATGGATAGAATGTAGCAAGCAAAGGTGATTTTTTTAACAATGTTCATCACAAAATTCAAATCTCTTTCTTCTTTTCTCCTTTTCTCCTTTTCTTTTGGTGCTTTTAACATGAAAAACTTGAAAATGGTAGAGATGGAAGCTTCCTATTTAAACGCTAGATTTATTGTTCTTTTTTTTCCTCTTCTATTGGTTTCCTTTTCAATATACAAATAGGTATACGTGATATACAAATATATATACATACATATACTCCGTATTTGCTTACATTTATCAAGGCCTTAAATGAATAAGTTGAATTGGAGAAAAATTAAATAAGTTGAGAGTGCAGGAAATGAGAGTAACGGTAACATCAAGTTTGGAAGTTCTCTAAGGGCAGTCTGGGAACATCAAAGAAGTTAACGGAACATTTTTAGTCAAAAAGCGCACAGATAGATAGAAAAAACACAAAGACTTTGAGTGGGCAGCAAATGCATCTCTCTCATTCATTCTAACCCCATTTCCTGTAATCTCTCTTTTTCTCTATTTCTTTTTGCTGTCCTCATCAAATTACTTTTTCAGCTTTTCACCATCTTTGATTCTTCATCTTTAATTTTTTTTGGCACTTCCTCTTTCTATCTCATTGATACACTCAAATCCAGTTTCTTTTTCTCTGTTTTCCCAATCTATCCATCACCATTCATTGATTCAGTAGATACCCATTTGGGGTTTGAGTATTCAACAGATAGCCATTTGGATTTTGAGTAGGAAAAAAGTGTTCTTGAGTGGGTATAAGCCATGGAAGCACCAAAACCTGAAGAGATACACCATCCACCAATGGACCAACTTCAGGGATTGGAGTATTGTATTGATTCAAATCCTTCATGGGGTATGTCCATTTTTCAGTTTTAAATCAGATACATATCTCCGATCATTCATTAAATTGATAATAACTCACTTTTTTCTACCTAAGTTTGCTGATCTCTGTCACATTTGCTTGTGAAAACAGGGGAGGCAATAGCTTTGGGTTTTCAACACTACATTTTGGCGTTAGGGACTGCAGTGATGATTCCCACATTCCTTGTTCCTTTGATGGGTGGATCTGATGTAAGCCAATTATCAAATTCATATAATCCTCTTTTGTTTATATATTTTCATCGTTTCTAATCTCACTCAATCAGAGAAAATCTATTTTTATTTTTTTATTTTTTATTTTTCATTAAAAAAAGAATAGGGACTGATGTTAGTAACCACATTTAGCAATTACGTCCTTAAAGTTAGCCAATCAAGTCCTTTTTTATGTTGTGTTAGCTAAGTTGTAATGAATTTTATATAAAAAAAATATCTTTGATTATTTGACATGTTTTTGGTGGTTACATGATGGTTGTGGGCAGGATGATAAGGTGAGGGTTGTGCAGACTCTGCTGTTTGTTGAAGGAATTAACACACTTTTACAAACACTTTTCGGAACCCGATTGCCGACAGTGATTGGAGGATCTTGGGCATTCATGGTTCCCATTGTTTCCATAATTCACGACTCATCCTTGGAGGGAATCCCCGACCCTCATGTGGTAACAATTCTATATGTGTATCTCTTATTTTTCTGCTGCATATTCTTTATTCCACAAAGTTGAAACTCCATTACTAAAAGCATTGTTTCTTTTGGGCAATTTGGTGTGACCCACTTATCTAATTGGCTTCACTTATTAACAGATTAACATTTCATAAGTAGTGTAGTGGAAACACCATTAATAAACAGAAAAATTCTTGTACATAGTAACGCAGTGGATGATTAAATTTTCATACTAAAACAAAGGACCGTCCTAAATGCTAGTGCTGTTTCAGATTGTATGGGAACTACTGTTAATAAATCTCATTTATTATACAAAAAACTGCAATTAGAGTAATGTAATTATGAACTGACACATACCTAGAAAAATAAAAGAAGTTTTTGACACATACCTAGAAAAATAAAAGAAGTTTTTGAACATGGCAAGTTTCTTTCAATTCCTGGTTTAAAATGCTTGCTTTATGGACGTTTATATTTGCAGAAAGATTCCATGATGGAAGATATGTCAAAATATGAAGTGTAAATATGAAATAGAGTCTCTCAAATAAAGAGTGTCAGACTCTTACAAAGTTATCAATAATATATAGTCTCTCTCCTTTTAAAGCGTTTTATTGAACAATTGCCACAAGTCGGTTTTTAAAACCAATTAAAATGATGTTTGTTAAAAATGAAATTTAGAGCATACTTATTTAGCTTGTTACCAACATGCCAATGTACATCAGTTTAGATGCATTATCTAAAGTTTCTAATCTGAACAAACATTTTAATGTCTTGTTTCTAATTCTAGAGATTTCTCAATACCATGAGAGCAATACAAGGTGCTCTAATAGTAGCATCAAGTGTGCAGATTATTTTGGGCTATAGTCAGCTGTGGGCTATTTTTTCCAGGTATGTCAGAAACTGATAGTGAATTTTGTTCTCATAATCCAAAAAAAAATAGGCTTCAACAATTGCTTTATGGATCAAATTGTAACATGTTTGTACCTTCAGGTTTTTCAGCCCACTTGGAATGGTTCCAGTAGTTGCATTGGTGGGGTTTGGTATGTTTGATAGAGGCTTCCCATTGGTATAATGAAAAATTCAATTGAAAAGCTGAAATTTTAATTATTATTTTCCCTTTCTTTGGTTCAAATCATTTATGTTCCTATGAAATTTTATCAGGTTGGACGGTGCGTGGAAATAGGAATTCCCATGCTTATTCTATTTGTTGCCTTCTCCCAGGTGTTACTTCTACTCTGGATTGACCAAATTCCCCTTCATTTTGATCTTTATAGCCTAATAAAATTTATGCATAAGTGAGAGAAAAAAAAAAAAACCAAAAATTGACAGTTGCATTAAGTATTTGGTATATCGTGGATATTCTCAATGTTGATTGTCAGCTGTTTATGAGTATGCTACATATTCAAACTGAATCCTGTTTACTTATTTTTCATCATAAGCAAAATAGTATTACAAGAAGCCAGAACTTTTTTTTTCGTAAAATAGTATTACAAGAAGCCAGAACTTGACTTTTACTGTGAATATTAGTTTAAATCATTTCCTTGACTACTCTATAAAATGTACAAGGGCCGAGACTTTTTCAATACTTTTGTGATACAATGTGTTTAATAAAAAAGGCAGGAAAGTCTAAACTCAGGGATGATATTCTTTAATAGATTTAATTATCCTGTAAGAACAATTACTTTAAATTTATAATTTGGAAGCATTACGAGTTTTGCAAGTCATGGAGTTTTTCTGGAGGGCCAATGTTTACCAAAGCCGATTCTAAAATGCATTTTGGCATGCAGGGCCAGGTTTTAGTGCTATAAACACAAGAATATGAAGCAAGGAAATTCTCTCTAACGTGCTTGCTTGTTTTGTTGTGCAGTACTTGAAAAATTTTCAGACAAAATCACTGCCAATACTGGAGCGTTTTGCTCTTCTTATATCAGTCACCGTGATATGGGCATATGCACACCTCCTGACAGCCAGTGGTGCATACAAACATAGTCCAGACTTAACCCAAAGGAACTGCCGCACTGACAAGGCAAACCTCATTTCTTCTGCCCCATGGTTGGTACCATATTAACTATTTGAGTTATTATTTTTATGCATATTAGCCTGTGTTTGTGTGGGTTGGTTTTGAAATGGGGAGTGGTTCTTTCATTCACACATTCGACTCTTGATCTGTCCAAGATTATTCTTGATTGCTTACTTTCTTGTTTAATTGCTATGCAGGATAAAAATCCCATACCCACTTCAATGGGGGGCACCTACTTTTGATGCTGGTCATGCTTTTGGAATGATGGCTGCTGCATTAGTCTCCATGATTGAGGTAAACCTTGCATGTGTGTTACAAGATCAATTAAAAAGTGATGCTATTGTTCAACGGTATAACAACAAAATGCTTGTTTTTGACAGTCCACTGGAGCCTATAAGGCGGCATCTCGTCTAGCAAGTGCCACACCCCCTCCAGCTCATGTTCTTAGCCGTGGTATTGGCTGGCAGGTTCACAAATTATCCATCCATTTACAAGTTTATGTAAAAAAACTTTATATATATGAACTATTTTGGACCTAATAGGATGGCATGACAGAGAGGAAATCACGGACATTGTATAGGACTTGAAACTGAAAGGAAAAAGAAAAAATATTTTACAGTGTTGAAATGAATTACAAAAATCTAAAGGATTGTCATCTCTGGTTTTTCTGATAAGTCTTCTTACAAGCACAATTTTGCAGAAGTGTGAGAATAACTATAAATTATTGATAGCTGTAGTTACAAAATACTTAAATGGGACTTCATGATACAGGGTATAGGCATCCTTTTAGATGGACTCTTTGGGACGGTCACAGGCTCTACAGTTTCTGCGTAAGTATTACAATATGTTCTGTTTTAACTGTTTTGCTATTTGAAGTTTTGAACTATCACTCAGTTTGGAAATGGACCTTAGCCAAATTTATGCTAAAACAGGGAAAATGTGGGTCTTCTTGGAACCACTCGTGTTGGAAGCCGGAGAGTCATTCAAATCTCAGCTGGTTTTATGATCTTCTTTTCAATTTTAGGTTAGTTAAACATGATCATCTATAACTCTAACTAATCCCAATTCTCAACTCAGTTTCCTCTTAAAGTTAGTATTTTGACAAGTACAGGGAAATTTGGAGCTCTCTTTGCATCAATACCATTCCCAATATTTGCTGCTGTTTACTGTGTCCTCTTTGGTCTCGTTGGTATGTTGCATATCATATTGTTCTTTTAATAGGCTGCTGTCTTATTTTCTATATATGTGATTAATAAATAGTATGCTCTTAATTTCCAGCTTCTGTGGGGTTGTCGTTTTTGCAATTCACAAACATGAACTCGATGAGGAACCTCTTCATCACCGGCGTTGCCCTTTTCTTAGGCTTGTCTATTCCTGAGTACTTCAGGGAATATACTGCATCTGCTTTTCATGGTCCTGCTCATACCAAGGCTGGATGGGTGAGTTATTGATGTATTTTCACATTACTTCAGCGGATTTAAAATGGTTCTTCATCATGATTTTATTGATCCCAAAAAAGGGATTTGGTTAAAAACTTGTCACTCATACTTCTTTTTCTTTGTATTTGACATTTACTGCTGTTTTCTTCTGCAGTTTAATGATTTCCTAAATACCATCTTTTTGTCCTCCCCAACTGTTGCATTGATTGTTGCTGTGTTCCTAGACAACACGCTTGACTACAAAGATAGTGCCAGAGATAGGGGAATGCCATGGTGGGTCAAATTCAGGACATTCAAAGGAGACAGCAGAAATGAGGAGTTTTACACCCTTCCTTTCAATCTCAACCGTTTTTTCCCTCCATCTTGATGTAGTGTTGTTACTGGATGGCAAGATGTAAGAGGGAAATCATCACCCGCAGCAACGGGATTGTGATGATCACAGTCCTCCTGAGATGGAGATCCATAATTTTTGTCTCAATAGTGAACGAAAGCTTTGCTTTCTGTCACTCTTTTTTCATTAATTATATATATATATTTCGGGTTATTCAGGTTTAATCCAATAAAACTAGTGCATTTGTTTCTTCACATTGTGTAATATAAGGTTCATCTGCATTTTTCTATTCTTTTCCTTTTTCTTTCTATTATGTATATATATATATATTGAACAAACTAAAGCTTCCATATTGAACAAACTAAAGCTTCCATATGTTTTTCCACTGTGTGTAAACATTATGTTTGGCGCTGCAAAATTTTAAGCTGACTGCGAGATGTTTGTGCATCTGCAATGAAGACTTAACTAGCCAATTGGTGTTGTAGTTGCACAGTATTAGAGTCATTAACACTAAACAGAATCCAACAATCAAACAAGTGAGATTCATGAAGGTATTATAAAATAGTTGCATCAATATCTGGAAACAAATTGACAAAAAAATAAGATAAATTCTGTCGAATACATCTCTCAAATTTATATCACATTTTCTTAATGCATGGACGTGTGGTAGGTGGGAGAAAAAGAGGAAAAGAGTTACAATGCAGCTGGATGTCATTTACATTTGACAGAACCAACCCCGAGTATTAAAAACAATAAGAATCTTAACTTTCACATGCCTACAATTTATCTACATCAGCTTGAATCACCTTTCCATCATGCATCATGATGTGTAATTTACAATGGGCTGCTAGTATTTGTATGTAACATCAGCCTTGGTATTATTTTCTGAATGCAAAAGAATATCACACACAAAAAAAAAAAAAAAAAAAAAAAAAAATAGGCCCTGAAAGAATGATTTCCATGACAAACACTAGTGATATTTGCACATGCACTCTGCACATCTTGGTTGTCGATAAATACTTCGACCAAAACCCCTTTGGCGCACTCTTTGACCTTCCTCAATCATCTTCCTTATTCTCTCTTCGAAACTATTCCATCCTATGGTGCTATTCTCCATCAAAATTGCTGCAAGCCTCTTCTTGCTTGGCCTCAAGGTAGGAGCATGGCCGCCACCATAATATGTTCGGAAACCAGACACCAAGGATGATAGTTGGCTTCCAGAGTCTGTAATGGCGAATACATCAGCAGTTGCACAGGCAATAAAGTCTAGTGCTGCCATCTGCATCATTAGTGGTTCACTCGTGTTAGTTGTAAATATTTCTATCGGGTGAAAAATTGACAAGGGATAACTAGAGCTAAGTTTCGGAAATGGGGTTTGAAGCACTGACACCAGAACTTCGAGATCTGATAATTTAAGAATTAGTTATGGAGTACAGGTTACAATCTGATAGTTCAAGAGTTATTTATAGAGGAAACATTAGAGACTATTTGGTTTGGGATTAAATTATTGTTTGACAATATTGACTTTTAGAGTGGCGACATATTATAGATCTTAGTAGCAGAGTTTTAACTCCGTTCCCACTAATGATTGTCTCACCATCATAATCTTTTCTTGATTTTTTGGACTTAGTAGCTTTTTATCCTTCAATTCAAGTAATGCTCCTGGTTTCGCAATTTCATTGCAACTTTCAACAATCAATATAAAGATTGGTGAGTGCAAACATTTTCAAAAAAATATCGTAGATAAAATTTTACGCCCTAGGTCACTACTTGTATCCAATGATGTGGATATCACAAAGTCAAATTTAGAATTTGAACGTGGTAATGAAAGAACATTTGAGTGTTCCAATATTCTTCTAGAACCAGTTAACTTGTATACATTCAAGGGAATGTTGGCAAGATAAATTGTTAAAATTGATATTAAAACTGATATTTACTAATTGAAAAGGCAAAGCTAATGGTAATTTACCTGAGAAGAAAAATTCCGAAAAGGTGCAAGTTCACTGGGAGTGAGGAGATCTTCCTTTGTCACCAAATTGGGATAGAGGCTAGTGAAGGAATGCATCCTGGATTGTCCCCCATATATATGAGAGCCAGCAAGATAGATGTAAGTCCTATGCTTAAAACCAATACCAGCAAGAACAAGTGCTGCTTCTTCGGGTGTCAGTGGACATCTTCCCAATTTTCTTAATTCTGTAGGAGGAACAGGCCTGCGGCAATCACCAATATGGAAGAAAAACAGATTAATGCACTCTGATATGTGGGCCAAAAATTATCAGAAAACACACAACCAAAAAACTCAAATAAAAATAGGTACTTTGAATTCTTCAAGCGTTCAATGAGCAGAGGAAAATGGACTTCTCTGTAAGCTTGGAGTTCTTTCCTCTCATTTTCTCCACCTCCAAAATCACATAGAGAGTATGCCACCATATCAACTTCAAACCTCAAGTGCAAAGCAAGATATCTGGAAAATCCTCTTGTGGCATTCCGCCCTTTCAAGGGAACATTTGAGATGGAGTCTCCAAGCAGTTGCGTATCCAACATATTGTTCGCGAAGTCATATTTTCTTAATCTCCTAACCAGTAAGGAGCCAACTTGTTGAATTTTTGGCACAAACTTTAAAGCATGGAAGTTACATTTGCACCTTAATCTCTGCAATAGATTCACAAATATATATTATACACATGCATGAATGTTGATATTATATCCAAGATATATAACGTCAAACAGGATGAAAAAGGATTCGCGGAATGCAGATTCTAAGCAGCATGAGTCAAATAGATAAGGGTTCTACAATCTATTTTAAGTGATGAGCAACTATCAAATTCAAAGGGAACTTTTCTAAAAGAAGGCCATAAGATATGAATTGCTCTAAACACTAGTAAATAATAGTGACTGAAGGAAGGACCTTGATATCGATGCAGGACCAACATAATCACTGTAAATACTTGCATTAAAACTACTACAGCTCAAACTGGAATGTAAGGTGTTGTTTTTCCGGTAAAGGGAATTTTAAGTTTTAATATTTCAGGAAATCGCAGATGAACTATTTCTATTTATTTTTAATGTGATCCAGCATCCAGGGGGGCAAAAAATATCAGAGCTGAAGAAGGACATTAAAGAGATTCACTACTCTTTCAACAGAAATAGAAAACAGAAATTTAGTAGTTCAGGAAAGCTGAAGCTCAAGTTTCAGAACACTAATATCTGTGGTCCAATAGATTAGATGTCCAAGAGATTTTCTCAACCTGAAGTTCAGAAGGCAATGGGTCAAAGCCGAGTCGATTAGCAAATCCAAGGAAGTGGACAACTCCATTCCGTAACAAGAGAGGAAGTACAGTCTTAACATAATCAATACGTGTTGCCTCCTTCGGAATATCTGCATCAGTAATCTGAAAAGCAAGGTAAAGTCAATCATTGGTCTCCAATCACATATAATTCCCTAATAGGAAGAGATGAACTGTAGAAATGACATACTAGACTACCAATTGCTTCCAAGTCCAGCGATTCCAAATGGGGAGGGAGCTCCTTTACAATATCTATATCATCCTTCAAAATGTCAATGAAATATTCCTCCTGGTAAATGTCACCAAACTGGCTACAATCCAAAAGAACAAGAAACACTATAAATCTCTTTTTGTAGCACTGAATGCAGTAATAAGCAAATAGAAATGGGCACAAGCATCAAATCAACTACTTTAGACAATTGAAATATCTTTATAAGCTAACAGCGAGCAATAATATCAGATATGGTCTCAGACCTGGGATCGTTCCATACATTGCTGTAAAGAAATTTAGGAATAACTAAAGTGGCATTAAGTAGAGATGCTATGGCAACAGCATTGCAGACCTGCAGGCATAAATAAAATACCTCATTAATTGTGTTGATTTTAAAAGACAGCTAAAATCATAGTAAATGCGATGCCTAAGGCCATAAGGAAGACAAGAATTTTACCACTCAATTTATAAAATATCAGAGAACAGAAAATTTTTCCTAAGTTAATATGAAACTGTTAGCTTAATTAGTAACTTACTGCAACTCTTTGTTGATTTAGACCACCATTTGCGCTGATCAATATAAAGCCAGTGCTTTTCCTAGGATTCCCTGCAACAACTTCAAATAATTTCAATGCCATTCACAGAGGAAATTACCTATACCACCAATGACAATTATGGGACAGTTTGAAAAGGTAAATATTAGTCATTAATGCTACATGCAAGAACCAAGGGTCAATCATATATAACTGAGGAGTACCTATATTTGTTGAACTCTTTCTATCTGCACAAGGTTTCCACATAGATGCCTGAGGATATGGTTCCTTCCAGAATTTTGATGCGTCTTGCTTCAATTCTTTCTGCACCATTAAGGTTTTAGAGAGGTACAACAATTAAATTAATAATAATAAAAAAGTCAAACAAACTAAATATGCCTAAATCATACACTCTTCATGCTTTTGTGCATATAATGTGCGTGTAATGTACATTAAACCAGGTCAAGAATCAAACCTGTGCAAGAGCACTTGAAGCCAGATTTAGGAGGCGGTCATACATCTGTACTGGCGCTTTTCCTTCATTAATGGAAGTAGTTCTACTCTCCTTCAGGAACACAAAGTAGTAAATGTAATATTAGTGGTATTATATGAGAAATTACACTTAAAATTTATAATAAATAATTAACAGCTATTTGATGAGTAAAATCCTAGGTTGAACAAAACTGTTTAGTAGAGTTTTTCAGATCACCATAATCAGAATCCAAGTTCTATTCAAGGACTTCCTTGTCAGACCACAAATGCTGCTCAAGTACTACCACTAAAGTCCTTTCTTAGTCCCTTAACAAAAATCCTTATGGCCTATCCATTTTTAAGAACTTAATCAATCATAAGAACACTCCCTACAATTACCATCAATGGCCTTCTCTACCGAATTCTAAGAACACTCCCTACAACTACCATCAATTTTACAAGCTCGTATCTTATTATGAAGCAATAGTCAAAGAATTTACTCAAGTTCATTTGTTTTAAATTTTCATATATATTTTCTCCATAATCATTCCATGCCTACGGAAATGCCTGTACATTCTGGCCAATCCCACTTTGAAGTTTAGAGTTCAATAGGACGATAATCTAAAATTTAATTGAGAACAGAAGCATATGGAAATGCATCTCTAAGCCCAATATACAAAAAAGAAAAAGAAAAAGAAGTCATACCTCTGTAGCGGTTGATATTCCAGGAGTTGAACCAATGTGCAGAATAGTGGGATCCAAAATGGAGAACAAAAGGGAATCGAAAAGAAAAAGAAAACCCATAAACCCAAAAGTGAAAACAATGGACCTCACGTGTTTACGTAACCAAATATGCCTTTTCCCAACATAAACTCCTTTACAAGCACTAAATTTGGCAGACTCATTCTTCAAGTTGTGAAGAAGAAAGGTCTTATTCCAGTGGTAGTAGTCTCCCCCTGATATCCTCCTCCCTTTACAAGGATCACAGCCTTGTTGTGTTTCCGAGCATCTATACTGATAATCTTTTGCCCCAAACGATACATCAACATTCGGGTGTTCAGGACGTGGACTTCTCGGAGACCCTTGCTTTCCCATTAAATCATAGTAGCATATCTCTCACCACCACCACCACCACCACCACCACCACCGGCCCTTATTATGACCGAGTAATTTCAAAACATTAATAAAAATTACTTCCAAAATATTGATTACAATAGAGTCCAAATGAACCCTGGCATGGCGTCTGTTCCTATGTAGACTGACTCTATAGAACAAACAATGTCTTTCCCTACTACAGACTTGGCAACCCATTAGATGGTATGAGAAGATTTGAGGTTGGTGGCAGCGACTAGTGAAAGAAATTGGTTGAAATGAAACCATCCAACCCTAAATTAATTAGAAATGAAGTCAAAGAAGGTGGTGATAATGATATTTGTACTACTATATATATATATATAAGTGAAACGTAAGAAATACATTTACCAATACCCAAGTATAGAATTATAAAAAGACCGACCTTGTATATAATACAGGAAATGAATCACGTCTGCAACAACTAATTCTTACCCAACACAATGAGAGTTGGTACTACAACATTTTCCAATCGCAATCGCAAGTGGAGTGAACAGACGGAATGAGAGAGAGACACCCCTTTTAACCGGCCATGAGAGCGTGCTGTATATGTTTATGTATTTAGAAAGAAACAAACGGATATGATACAAGTGATTTCCCGGGCCTTTACAAACCAACTTCACACCAAACAGTTGGGATTGTTGGGAAAATAAACAGGGATAAAATAAATAAATAAATAAATAAAGTTTCAAACACACACAATGATACACAGATGGTTCACTTAAGCTAGGGTAAAGGTTGCAGGATTTCTCAGGATGAATAAATACCCAACTACTAGGGCCGACATAAGAAGTGGAATTCGGTAATCTGCGAAGTTGGCTAAAGCTTACAGAATATTAGGGGTCTAAAACTTCAAAGCCAAAAAAAAATTTCTACTGAAAAACGCAGAACTTGGATTAGATGATAAGATTACGTGAGATATATATTTTGTTTTTAATTATTTAATTTAAAATTATTTGGGGGAGAGATAATTCTTTTGATGTCATTTAAGTATGGATTAGATGATAAGATTACGTGGGATATATATTTTGTTTTTAATTATTTAATTTAAATTATTTGGTGAGGGATAATTCATTTAATGTGATTTAAGTATGATTCTTACTAGTTACAGATCTTGTGTCTAATAATATCTCTATTATTATTTTCTTAAATGAATGACAAGAGTTTTAAACTCTAAAAAAATAGTGTTGTATCTTGAATAATTTTTATGAAATTTTCTTTTTTCTTGAGCCATTATCTTTACATGGAAGTTCTAATTTATTTATTAATCATCTCCTCTGTTCAGAAACCCTAGCTTTAAGAAAGTCTCACTATTGTGATCTCTCATCCTTACTATGATTGGGCTTCGCCTTCTGGTCATCGTCCTCCACCCAGACCTCTTGATCGAATCTCCATTGTTAACGGGCTCATCCTCGATCCGTTACCAACGGCTATTTTCGGATTTCAACTATTTTGGGCCTAGGTCTCGTTCGGTTCATTGTTTTGGGCCTCTTGAATGTTGGTCTCTTTGTTTTGAGCCACACGCCTTGTAAGCCTCTGGGCTACTCCATGTAAAATATTTGTACAAATTACTTTCTCACTTGATATTTCAAGGGTTCTCATAAAGACAGGACAAGTGAGAATCCTTGAATTTTATTTTATTTTATTAATCCCCCCCCCCCCCCCAAATTAGAACACGTGTATCGGCTCTAAAACGGATCATTCAAGTAAGGAGTGTGGTTGAAAAGTGACACCTCAAGAACTTACCCCAAATCCCTGTCAACACTACTATACCTCTGGGACCCTTGATTCTCTTGAATGTGTGTGTTTTATTTGTCAACATAGCATAATAATAATACTAATAATAATAATAATGATAATGAGGAGGTTGAATGCTTCAAAATCTTTAATAATAATACTAATAATAATAATAATGATAATGAGGAGGTTGAATGCTTCAAAATCTTTAATCCTCACCCCCAAATTTAATTGGCACAAAATAGAGAAAGATACAGATTTTTAAAAAGGACATAAAATAATTAGTATCTAGTAAATCCTCTATCCTAGCCTTTTGATAATGCACTTGTGAACGTTAACATATATTGTATTCCCAATTAGCATACGACTCTTTTGAAATGATTTTTCTTTGCAATTTAAAACTACTTCCATTTGCCTGAAATATGATTTTTTGTGATTTTGACATGTTAAAAATTGTTTCTGAAATGGGACCTTTTCCTATTCAAATGTGAATCTAAAAACTCCGGATCGAAAAAGTTTTCAATCTCTTGTAATATTGCATCTGCAAAAATATATTGTAACACACACAAACAAGTAAACTGTTAGCATCCTACATATTGCAATGATTACCAATCCTATTTACATCGTAACAAGCACAATATCAAGTTCATCTTTCTGACAAACATTTAATCAATAATTAGTGCAAAATGCAAACAATGAATTTAATAAACATTGTAATGAAATAACCTGGTGCCATCAAGCCAAATCAGGGATTGGTTTTGGGTTTGTGCCATAGACTTACTTTCAATTTTAAAACTTTGTAATTCCACTCACCAACATAGGTAACTATGTCATCATCCAGTTAAATTTTAGTTGAGTAATTCAAATTTACTGTTAAGTGACTATGATCAAAATTTTGTCAAGCAAATGCAACATGGCATGTGATCCAACAAGGCAACAACACATGTAATCTTCTTAATTTAATCAGTTTTCACATTTTTCTGATGTAGTTGTTGTAGAAGAAAAGAAATTCATTAACCAAAAAACATTATACACAGATATAATGAAAACATACATACCGCACACAACTAGCTAGAAAACACAGAGTATACAGAACCGAAGTAATACAAGTCCACTAGATCTTAAAGAAAATCAAGCCAATAGACTGTCAGGGTTACAGACAACACCATATATATCCATATTTTTTTTCCTATCAAAATGAACCAACAAATATGTGACACAGCAAACTTCATTTGAGACGTTTCAGTATCATGGAGCATAGGAGCTACAATTAGTTCCACCTTTCAATGCAGTGCAACCTGTTGCAATAAAATCATGCTATCAGCATAAAACATATAATTTTTTTTTTTTCCCTTATTATCCTTGATTCATGAGGACCTGGGCATAGGCATTCTTGGAAATATAGAAAATTAGTACTAGTAGCACATAATTGTCAAAATTTGATATACACAACTAGAAGTAACATAAAATAGATACCTTCGTGATTCTTGCATTTCCTAACTTGCAAGAAACTTATATCTAATCTTCTTTAGTGTTGTTAGCGCTTCTTTCATGGTGATCCCCTCCTGTGGTGATTCTGCACAGCAATTCAGAGCCAATTGCATGATGGATGATACACCTTGCACCTTTGCACTTATTTGTCCTTCCTCTTGCTTGAGCAAGTTGGCATCTATAACCTGAATTATTACATTAGGTAGTGACTCACTTACTCATAGCTTTAAGCTTAAATCTCCAGCAAACATCTCATCAGTCGGCTTAGTCCTTGTAAACATCTCCATTAACATAATACAGTGACTGTAAACACCGGACCTTTGTCGATACTAGTTCTTCCGATCCATACTCTATTTCCAACATCAGATTTAATCAAAAGAATTAACATGCGGAAGGAAAGTAAAACTCCAATTAAAAAAAAAAAAAAATTAGGCTAAAATGGAAACCTAAAGTACTTGCATGAAAAAAAATAATAAATAAATAACTAAAGTAAGATTTGAATAAATACAAAAGTTAAAACTTCACCTGGTGCTATATATCCCAAAGTTGCAAGAATCTTGGTGTGCGCAAAACTTTCCCCCTTATCCTCGAACTTTGAAATTTCAAAATCACTAACATGTGTGACCATATCTTCTTCTAGCAAGACATTATTAGGCTTCAAATCACAGTGAACCAATGGTATTGAATAACCATGGTAGAGATAGTCCAGCGCACTTGCCACATCCATCATTATGTTTAATCTCTGGAAGATATCTAAGAAATAGTTAGGAGAATACAACCATTTTTCGAGACTCCCATTAGGCATATATTGGGGTACCAAGGCTCTGAAATCTAGGTTGGAAGAACTGCTGATAACTTTGATGAGTAGTTGAAAATGCACACTGGGGTTTAACAAATATTATAGTGTGAAATAACCTGGTGTCATAAAGCCAGAATCATAAATAGGTTTTGGGTTTGTATCATAGACTCAGTTTCAGTTTAAAACTTTGTCATGCCAGTCACCTACATGGGTAACCATGTCATCATATAGGTTAAATTTTACTTGGCTAATTCAAATCACTATGATTAAGATTTTGTAAAGCAAATGCAACATAAGCAATGTTAGAATGAAATCACTTTGGATAGCTCCCATCAGAAATGTACTAAACACATCAAGGCTACGCCATAATAAATAAAAAAACATTATGTATAGATACCATAAAAACATACACGCAGCATACAGCTAGAATACACACAATAAAAACAGCGAAGCAGTACATGACCACTAGATCCAAAAGACAATCAATTATATGAACTGTGACATAACACACCATATATATCCAATTTTTTTTAATAAAAACGGAACAACATATATGTGCTTCCACCAATGTCATCTACCTATTTTACAGAGCAAACTCCCTTTCAAACATAGTTCTGATATCATGGAGCAGAGGAGCCACCATCGCTTCCACCTCTCAAAGCAATGCAATCTGTTGCCATAGAATCTTGCTATCAGAACAAAACATCTGAATTTCTTTATTTAAGTAATTATCCTTGATACAGATATTATTTGCAGAAAAATTAAAAACTTAGTTCTAGTGGCACATACCAAGGTAAAATCACAATGCTTTCCTATGGTTTGGAAGTTAATTGTATAAATTATTTGATTAACAGATTACTTTGAAGAAATACCCTCTTAAAATGAGGTGAACTTCTAAATATGGCCATAATAAATTTGATATTTACAACTAAATGTAACATAAAACACAAATACCTTCGTGTTTATTGCCTTCACGGCTTGCAAGAAACATATGTTTGATCTTCTTTAGTGTTTCCAGGACTTCTTTCATGTTTATCCTCTCCTGGGGTGACTCTGCACAACATTTCAGAGCTAATTGCAAGATGGATGATACACACTGTACCTTTGCACCAAGTTGTCCGTCTTCTTGACTGAGCAACCTGGCATCTGTAACCTTAATTATTGCATTAGGTAGTGACTCACTTACCCATACCTTCAAGCTCAAATCTCCAACAAACATATCATCAGTGGGCTTAGTTCTTGTAAATATTTCCATTAACATAATACCGTAACTGTAAACATCGCATCTTGTGGATACTAATCCTTCCGATCCGTACTCTACATCCAACATTAGAATTAACATGTACATGGAAATTAGAACTCCAATTAAAATTTTTTTTACTATAAAAAGAAACATTAAAGTACAAATTTGAATGAAAACATAAGTTAAAAGCTTCACCTGGTGCAATATATCCTAATGTAGCAAGAGTCTTGGTGTGTGCAATACTCTCACCCTCACCCAGGAACTTTGAAATGCCAAAATCACTGAGATGTGCAACCATATCTTCTTCTAACAGAACATTGTTGGGCTTTAGATCACAATGAGCCAACGGTATTAAATAACCATGGTGGAGATAATTGAGCGTACATGCCAAATCTATCATTATATCTAATCTTTGTAAGATATCTAAGAAATGGTTAGAAGAATACAACCACTCTTCAAGACTCCCATTAGGCATGTATTGGAGCACCAAAGCTCTGAAATCTAGATTGGAGCAACTGCTGATAACTTTGGTGAGATTTCTGTGACGAATGTTGCGCAACATTTCACATTCTGTATCAAAACTCTTGTAAGCACTTTCTAGTTGCTCATTGAATACCTTGATGGCAAAAATGGTTCCATTTATAAATCTCCCTCTGTAAACAGAACCATAACTTCCCATTCCAAGTAAGTTTTTATCGCTAAAACCATCAGTAGCACATAGAAGTTCTTGGTGTGAAATTCTTCCTTGTGGTAACGTGGGTAACAAATCTGTTTCAATTGGAATTCTGTTTCTCTTTCGACATTTTATTGAGACAAATGTGAAGATCAAGGCAATTAAAGCAATTGTCAACAAAATGTAAACAACTAGAACAACTTTTTTTGTTCTTGATCCGTGAAGAGAGCTTGAGTGACATGGTGGGACTTGGAACTGTGGGGCACCACAGAGTGCTTCATTTGACTTGAAGGATTGATTTATGAAGTTTACAAATGGTCCTCCGTTGGGAATTTCTCCTCTTAGCCTATTGAAGGATGCATTGAAATACTGAAGAAGCAGCAGTGATTCCATTGACTTTGGAATTATACCTGAGAGATTGTTGTAAGATAGATCCAAGAATTGCAGGCTTATCAAGTTGGCAAATGATTGAGGAATAGGTCCTTGTAGTTCATTGTGTGCCAAAGAAAGATTGATTAAGCTTTGCAGATCTCCAATGGCGCTAGGGATATCACCAGAGAATCTATTCAGTGACAGATCTATATGTATTGCGACCTTTAAAGTTCCAATCTCTGAAGGAAGATAGCCACTTAAAGAATTTGAGGACAAGTCCAAATACAAAATATCTTTCAGGCTGAACAAATTTATAGGCACTGTGGAGGTTAATTTGTTAGAACCCAGAAAGAGTTCTCTTAGAGATGTAATATTCCCTAAGCAAGTTGGAATTGGACCAAAAAGTTCATTTTCATTCAGAGCTAATAAACCCAAGTTGTGTAGGTGGCAAAGATTATTTGGAATGGGGCCTTGTATCTTGTTAATTCCAAGATTTAAAATTTGAAGCTTTTGCAACTCTTTCATTGTCGTTGGAATAGATCCAATGAAGCCATTGCCACTTAGCCTTAAGAAAGCTAAATTGGTCAAGTTACCAATATGGTTGGGAATGTTGCCCTTAATTTCACAATAACTTGCCTGGATATCTTGGAGCGAAGTTGAAAAATTCCCAATGGAAACTGGAAGGATGCCATTCAAAGGATTGTTATGTATCCACAAATTTCTCAAGTGTTTGCAATTTGTCAAGGTAGTGATCAAGCTTAATTCTTGGTTTGGAGATTCGCTGTTGAAATTGTTCCATGCTAGGTCTAGAAATTCGAGTTGTCTCAAATTACCAAGTGAGTTGGGAATTGAATGACTGAAATTGTTGCTGGAAAGGCTTAAAATAGTGACTTTGGAAAGATTTGAGATAGAGTGAGGGATAATTCCGTTGAGGCTATTTCCAGCAAGGTATAATCCTTCAAGATTGGGTAACCTAATACTTGATGGAAGTTTGCCTGAAAGATGATAATTTTCAACCAATGAAATGGATCGTAGTTTCGACATATTAAAAATTGTTTCCGGAATCGGACCTTTTAACCTATTCAATGATAAACTTAAAAATTCCAGATTATGAAGGTTTCCAATCTCTTTTGGTATTGCACCTGCAAATTTTTATGTATGTATTAGAATATAAAAAGCAAGTAAATTGTTGGCACATGCAGAATGCAATGATTACCAGTTCTCTTATGTACATTTTAGCAAGTACTACGTCTTTCTTTGTGTTGGCGATCTCACATAGTAAAGTTTATGTGAAGATGTTCTAATAAGCTCCTATCCATTGAGAAAAAAGAAAAAAGGAAAAAAAGAGAAGGAATAAGTTATTTTAAATTAAGAAAGTTGGATATGCTTGATAATTAAGAGGGTACCTGTGAAATTGTTCTCCCCCAGATTTAATTGAATCAATGAAGTAGAGTTTCCAATTTCTCTTGGAATGCTTCCATACAGTTCATTTCTGTAAAGATTAAGTATCTGGAGCATAGGAAGATGCCGGCTCATACCATGTGGGAGACTACCAGTAAAGTGATTGCTATTGAGATAAATCCCTTTCAAAGAAGAAATGTTAAAGACAAAAGATGGTATGGTACCAGTGAGGCCAGCTTTGTCAATTCCTAGCATCTCCAAATTATGAAGATTTCCCAGCTCTTGTGGAATTTTACCTACACGGGTATTACAAAATTACCAACTAATTAACCTCTTTTTCAAGTATATTATAGGCTTTCTATTTAGACAAAGCTGATTTCCAACATAGCATGTAACTTGAGGCCACACCACGCTGGTACAGTTGCACATATTAAAGCGAAGAACCATTATCATCCTTTATTGAGCAACTTAAGGTTGTGATTTAATTCAAATGTCTACAACCAAGCATGTGAAACTTAAACACAGCTAATTTGTACATTTTATTTAAAACTAAAAGATTGCAACGAAACACAACTAATCTCTTCGCAAATCCTACCTTGTGTTTTTTTTTTTTTGGTAAGTAAATCATGGTCTCTATATGTATAGAATCATTTTAATGTGAGATAGGCCTTTCGATCAAAGTTTTAAAAAAACAACTTTCTGTCGCTTATTGTTCACCTTTTCTGGAAGCCATAAGATTAATTAATCTTTAATATTTTGGTCATAGATGTCCATTTTATTAATCTAACTACATCATGTCATGTAATGTTTTTTTTTTTTAGTTGAATCATGTCATGTCATGTTATCGTTGCTTTTATACTCTAAACCAAAACTCAATCAGAATGCCCTTTGGGAGAGTGAGTCCACATAAGTTTTAAATTAATCTATCTAGTTCTATAACTAGGTTGCAAATAATTTATTAAAATATATTTCTGGGACAAAATAAATTTTTAGTATAAAGAAAAAAAATTGCTGGCAAATTATTTATTTATATATTTGAATGTATATTCCATACATTTATTCCTCTAAGTAAATAATATACAACATTAATATAGCACAAATTTCCAAACTTTACTGGTATGCAAAACTTTGTTCAGAATCATTTTATAAGATAAAGTCTTTGTCCATATGTAAGCAAGCATGGGCATAGCAAGGGAGAACAAAAACAGAATTTATCTTACCTTTCAAGATGTTTGTGCCAAGATATAACTCTTTCAGGAAGGTTAAGTTCCCAATCTCTCTTGGTATTTCTCCATTGAATTTGTTATTTGACAACCACAAGGTTTGAAGTTCCGAGCATTCACATGAAGGAATTTGGCCATCAAACTGGTTAGAGGACAAACCAAGCCAGTAGAGTTTTGGAAGACTGTAACACATATCCATTGGAAGATTACCCGACAGGCTATTATTGTCCAAACCAATTCTTTCCAGTGAGGAGATGTTGAAGATGGAGGCTGGTATGGATCCCGAAAGCTGGTTCCACCCCATTCTCAAAACCTTCAGATTAGTAAGCTTGCTAATTTCTGTAGGAATGTTTCCTGTAAAGTCATTGAGAGTGAAAATCATGATCGATATATTTCTAGTCAACACAATTACCTATCTCCTTAGGGATATCATAACAGAAATTATTGTTTCTAACTTTTTAATGTTGAGGGATAGCAGGATGGGGAGGTTATGTATTTAATATTCATCCTAGTAATTAATAATTAATAGAGCACAAATTCCCAAACCATCCTGGTATGCAAAATTTGTCACTGTATAAGATCGATAAAGTCCTTGCCCATATATGTAAGCTTATATGGGTATAGTAATTAAGGAGAACAAAAGTACAATTTATTGGACCTTTTAAATTGTTTGCACCAAGATATAACTCTTTGAGGAAAGTCAAGTTCCCAATTTCTCTTGGTATGGAGCCCGAAAGTTGGTTCCACCTCACGTCAAGAAACTCTAGACTAGCAAGCTTGCCGATTTCTTTAAGAAGGTTTCCTGTAAAGTCATTGGAAAAGAAATTAATGGATTCTAGTCTACGCAAATGACCAATCTCTTTAGGGATATTACCATAGAAACTGTTGTTTCTGATGTCTAGTAAGGCTAGAAAGGAGAGGTTTCCAATGTGTGGAGGGATGGTGCCTCTTAAGCCCATGTAAGAAAGGTTCAAGACAGCAACTCTGTGGTGGCGAGTGCTGCAATGGACACCAATCCAGTTGCAATGGGAGGTTGAGGTGGTCCAATTGTTGGCCAAAATGTTTTGAGGGTCGCTAGTGATGTGGGATTTCAGGGCAAGAAGAGCCGATTGATCAGTGGTGACATTGGTTACAGTCCTACTAGTACTCACCGTCACAGCCAAGCAAGCCATGAGAGAGTAGTAGTAGTAGTGCACCAAAAATAGAAATGTAACAGAAATAAGGGAGCTAGTTTTCTCCATCATGAAAAGGAGACACAGCTGGTCGAGGTGAATCAGAAGAGGAAGGCAAGTGTGGTATTAATATGATGAATTTAGTATAGTTGTCTCTTTCGCTTTAATTAGCAATTCGGATGAGATATATGTGGTCTTGCCTCGAGTCTTTTAAGTCTTTGCATACTTCCAAAATCGAAAGCTATCACTGTGCCTTTTGGTTCACGGAAACGCAGACCTTGATCATGTCAAAGTCTTCAAACATGGAGGCTTCCTCTAGAAAAGGACTCCATAGTGACCATTCATGCATTTTGTTTTATGCCTTAAATTCCGTCTTCGCTTTTGGATAAGAAGATTTGTTCACTTCTATCCCTTTCTCTTTCAATTTACGGACTCGCCTTTTAATTTATGTATAATGAATGTCGCCAAGTCAAGATTCCACACAATAGTACGTTTGGAAAATCAATCAAAAAAATTCAGTCTTCGCTTTTGGACAAGAAGATTTGCTCACTTCTATCCCTTTCTCTTTCAATTTGCAGACCCACCTTTTAATTTCTGTATAATGAATGTCTCCAAGTCAAGATTCCACACAATAGTACGTTTGGAAAATCAATAAAAAATTTCGTGCTTGATTGGTCATCCCCAAAATCATTAATCACTGCCTCGTCTTCTAATTAATCATCTTATCAGTTAGCAACTAACTCTGTTCTAGTGATCATGGGGCACAGCAATAAAGAGATTCCATAATTATGCTTCCAGTTGCATTAAGATGGTTGGATGGGGATTCAAACACATATCATATAACTGTGATGTTTTCAATTGTTGCCATTTTCCAATTTTTGGAATTTTTTGATTTTTTCAAGGGTATTTTCGTCTTTCCTGTTTTTTTTAATTGATGAAAATAGTTTGCCACATGGAACACTGTGCCTTTTGCAGCATGCTTATGCATGGCGGACTTCATAGTTGAGCTGTATGTATCAAAGGTTGAAAACTAGGGGATTTATTGAGTCAAATTCACCCAGGAAAAAAAAAAAAAAAAAAAAAAAAAAGTTCATTCGAATTTATGACATCTCAACCCCAATATCATGTAGTATGGTTTTCACCTATGTTACCTGAATTCTTCAAAAGTAGGTGAAGTACTCATGTCGGACACACAACACTCAGACATGGGTATGTGTATCCGAAAGCTTTGGTTGGACATGCGCCTAAAAAACAGACGCAATAATTCATTGCTATCATATTATTGCTTCAAAATAAATGAAATGATTATATTAGGCACTGTGTTACATAATGACATTGTTTTACTTTAGAAACTAAAATTATTTTATAAAATTATATTAATTTTTAGTGATATCCATGTGTCCTGTTCGGAGATTTGGCATATTCGATGTATGGATACATACACACGTACATATTTTATCGCACATCGTTAAGCTTAAAGCAATCCACAATTACTTGCATCCCTCATTGAAAGTTTATTAGAACTACATAGAATCTGTAAAGCTTTTGCAGTGGCACATTGTCTGCACGCTCATACAAACCCAATATTGGCGTTGTAGGTTAACCCAAAAATTTGGATCAGTTTGTTTTCTTGCAAACAATCTGATGTGACTAGTATAGTTCAAGCAATGACGTTTACATTTCTACTATACTTTTAGCTAAAAATATGTTTCATTAAACTTAATTAACAAGCCTTTATTCCAACTCTTTGAGTTTCATTCTAACCTCTAAAAAGAAATAAATTTACTCTCTCCGAGTTTGAATTTATAATGTTTGTATTGAGATTATTTGTCAAATCTCTAATGGAGCAAATATTACAAATTTTTCTTGATGAGTAAATAAATTGAGAAACATAAAGGGCAAGGCACAGTAATGCATGGTTAACAAAGCTAAAACAAGTTGAAGACAACCGACAACCATCTAACAACTTCAATATAAGTTGACTCTCAGGACCAGTACATTCAAATGAAAAATTATAGTGTTGTATTAGAGACATCCTAACTTTTGTACTATTGATCTTTTGAATTTTTCTATTTCTCTCTATCTACATTCACCATTACAGATGTAAATATACCACCGTTCAAATGACTTTTCTATTTTAGTTTCTAACCCTGAACCACCATTTGACACGGCAGTCTTTAAATGGCGCAAATATTTAAAAATTGATGAAGTAATATTGTTTTTCCTCTACATGCTAAGAACTATATGTGCATTTACCTTTTATGTTCTTGGTTTCAGGTTTTCCACAAATGGATGCCTCCTGAAGCAATTGATCTTGCTTCACGTCTATTGCAATACTCCCCTAGTCTCCGTTGCACCGCAGTGAGTTTGATTCTGCTTTCGTTTTGTAGATGTTTCATTGATATCTAGTTATCTAAAAGGTTATAACCATGAGGAGTCAACGTGGTTTAATATTTACCTGCAAATGAATGTTTAGGTAATTTTGTACTCCGTCGTCTTGTTCTGTCACTCTTTCCCTTTAATTGGAACAAAGTTTGTTTAACTGCCGTGCTTTTTTTCCCCTTAGGTGTATATATACACATCCATTGTTTTCGTGCTTGACTACATCTTATTCTTTACATTGCAGCTAGAAGCATGTGCACATCCTTTCTTTGATGAGCTTCGAGAACCCAATGCCCGCTTACCTGATGGTCGTCCATTACCTCCCCTTTTCAACTTTAAGCAGGAGGTATATCTTGTATTTCCTGAACTGAAATTTTGCCTTTTTTTTTTATTTTTATTTTTGTAGACTTAAATCCCTTTAAAGGATGCACCTGAATGAAGAACTTTGTTGAAAAAATATTTTAAAAGATAAAGCAAAAGATTGCTCAAGATAAAATAGAATATGTTAAAGCATAGGATCTTATATGTATTTTTAGAAAGAGGTGTGTGTGTGTGTGTGTGTGTGAGAGAGAGAGAGAGAGAGCAATGGGTGTTGAAAGATATCAGAGAGAACTTCAATGGCGAAAGAGTCATTCTTATGCAGAGGCATCCAGTGGCACATGCTGGAGCAAATTAGCCAAGTGAAGGAGCAGTAGCCTGTTGGAAACTCGTTGCTAGTGAATAACCTAGTAAATTCCAGTTCAGTAAAAGAGAGCAGACATAAGTGAGGTGGAGAATGTGTTAGGGTAGATGTTTGGCAGACAGTCGGTGTCTCGAAGGACATACGATCTTGCTCTCTCTAAAATCTACCACTAGGCATCCTGCTTTTAGAATTACATCTTGGCAAGTGCTTCGTTTCATCCATCAATTCATGGAACCCCTAGGATCACAGGAGGGACTGTAGCGTGGCCTAGTGATTAGGCTGTGACTACTAAAGATTGAAACATAACCTATAGATTAACAATATTAAACAAGCATATAATAAGACAATCATTAATATTACTCCGTAAAGCTCAGATCTTTATATTTAGTCTAAAATATAAACATGCGAATTGTATTATTACTTGGTGAATGTTAATAATAATATTAAATATTACTATAAAAGAAATTGATTATTGAAAAATTATTGTACATGAGAGGTCTTTAATCTTGACAACCTTAATGATATCCTTAATATCAGGCACAGTCTTTTAATTTATTTATCATATCTTTAGTTGAAGAGTTACTGATTTATATGAACTTAATGCATTGTCACATTCATCTTTTTTTCTTTTGGTAGTGATTAAGAATTAAAAAGGAGATATAATTATCGTTTCTATTATCAAACAGCATGCATTGCTGAAATGGCACATGTTTTTCTCTATCAAACAGCAGGCACATATTTGTAAGCTTTGCAATTAATAAGCACAATACGAGTGAGGATATGTTGAGTTGAGTGAAGCTAAAAATCATTCTGAGATCAACCATTGATTTATATTGTATGTGATTACTGTTGCATGCTGATTGAGACTGTTCTAATATGTAAGCAATTTCATTGTTCTGGTTACAGTTGTCTGGAGCTTCTCCAGAGCTTGCTAAGAAGTTGATACCAGAGCACGTGAGGCGGCAAATGGTCTAAATTTCATGCATCCATCAGTCACATAAACATGGACTAATGACATGGAATGCTAAATGACGAGTGAGATATGAAGACAACCGTTATCACCTTGCATTCAACCTGCCTGACCAGAAGCATTTCTTGATCTACAAGCATGAGTACAGATTCAGGCAGCCGGATGGCTGCACCTCCTTGCATGATGCTTTATCTTTGCATCATACATATGTTGAACGTAAGTAAATCAGAGAACATCTCGAAGAAGGAAGGCCCCAAAAATAGCAACCAGGATGGAGGGCTTGAGCTGGGTGAGGTAGTCGTTGATTGTCAATCTTTCTTTTACATGTCTATAACTTAGTGTTTGTTGTTGCTGACTTCAAAATGCAAAGCAATATTGTTACTCTTGCAAAAGACTTAGTACTCTGTCCTTTTACCTATACTAGAGCTTGGTTTCTCCCATCCAGATATTCCATTGCTTTCATTTGTTTGTTTTATACATATACTCCATAATTACTATGCAGATTCTAGTGTAAAAAGTTTCCTCATGTTTTGAGCAAAGCTGAAAACATGGTGACTTCACAATGGAATGTGATTGAGGCAGCAGGTTTCTGTGAGCTTGCATTAGTTGACATTACTCTGGTTTCACGGGCATAATGTAAAATTTATTCTCATCCACGATAGGGTGAAATTAGTTGTATTGATGGCTGAAATTAAGTTTTAGAGCAATCCTAAAATTAGTTGCATTTCTTTCATGTAATCTGCTTCCAATTTGCATTAAGGGCTGCAATTTGCAGGATTACTTGGAACACTTAAAACCTATGGTGAGGCATGCTTGGTTGAATGTTGAATTTATATGTGTGTAGATTTCTCTGTAGTGCAGCGTGCATGTTGTAGCAATGAATGATTAGGATCTTTCACACCTGTGGTGGTTCTACACGGGTGAAGTGAAGAATCCTAATCATCCTTGCTGTAATACATTGTTGTACAACGTAGGATTCTGTTACTTATCATCCACCAATTTTTTTTGGAAAAAAAAAAAGTTAAAAAGTCTTACTTCCTCGGTCCCATATTACTTGTTAACTCTAAAAAAATTTTGACTCATAATTTTTGTGAGTCAAAATTATCGAAATAGACCTCTAGTATGGGATATAGGTAGTATATATATTAAAGGAATATGGCTAAAAATAACATCAAATGATTTAAAAATAAAAGATAGTAGTGAGTCAAAGCGTTTCAAATTGATAACTATTATGGGACGGACTTATTGTTTGTTATTATTCCAAAAAAACACATGTCCTGTTTGGAAAAACTGTGCACCAAAATACGTAGGACTGAAGATCACCAGCCAAGTAACCAAGTAAAACGGCAGCTTGTAGAATTGAAACTACGGAGTACTACGTACTTAACATGATTCAATGAGTTGTATTAGACTACCCTGAATCCATGATTATCAAGTCTCATTAATAGAAGTCATACAATCCAACGGATGCGATTCTGTTGGAAACATTCACATGGAACCGTCAAGTTGTCAACATATATTTGCGCGCCAATGGGCGAACGAGTACTCCAAGGCTACGACTCAAAAATCATCAAAAGCTAGCCGATTCTGTACGTCGACAACAGGGCCTCTTTCGGTAGCGTTCGATCAGTGGGACCCACTTGTATGTTAAACATTTAATAATCAATGGCGCGGTTCTCGTGTCACTGGTGTGACATTCAATGCTATGCCCCACCACACAGGACCTGAAGTCAACAAAAGTCATGCTGTTTAAACACAAGGACAAGGCGACAATCTCTGTCCATTTCCAGATCTCGAAACTTTTTAACTCAAATTTGTAACTCTTGTAGTCTACAATGTACTCAATTTTGTATACACATAAATACAGTATTTCTAGGGTTTTCAGGCACTAAATTTGGAGAAGTCGCTACACTGCATTCGAAGAGTAAAATGGGGAGTGTAATGGTTGAGTTGATGTTTCCGTTGATTTGGTTGCTGCCTATGGTTGGAGCTTCCATTAGTCTTCTCTCTCCCAAGGGAGTCAACTATGAAGGTGTTTAGAGACTCCATTTCTTGATTTCCCTTTCTCTTCTTAATATGTATGATTTTTTTTTTTTTTTTTTTTTTTTAAATCTTGCTGGGTGAATTTTTAGTGGCTGCATTGATGTCTGTGAAGAGTAAAATGAGAGATGAATATCATGTGCTTGATGGATGGGATATAAATTCCGTTGATCCTTGCACTTGGAACATGGTTGGTTGCTCTCCTGAGGGTTTCGTCATTTCTCTGTAAGTCACATTGATGTTCAGTGTTTTGAAGGAATTAAATTTGAATTTTTTATGCTAATGAATTTGAATTATTGGTTAGGGTTATTTTTTATTTTTTAATAAATGTCTGCTATAACTTGTTTTTGGTTATTGTTGTCAGGGAAATGGCTAGTGTGGGCTTATCAGGAACCCTCTCGCCGAGCATTGGCAATTTGAGTCGCCTTCAGACAATGTGAGCCCATTTAATCTCTTTGCTTGAAATTTGTTGAACTTTTAAGGGGGTATTATATATATATGTAGAAAAAGATTTCACAATGGAATTTCAGGGCCATTTCTATTTTAGCTTAAAATTGACTCATTTTTGGCTGCCAAAAGCTATTTTATATTCTCGCACAAATTACATTGTTTGCTGTAAGATTACATCACTCTTGTAGTGTTACTGAAAGAGTATTGAAACTCTTTATTTATTTATCTGATTGCTTGACCAAAAATAGAAATACAATTTGATAGTCCAAATTATTGGCTTGTAAAACTTCTTCTACCTGACCCTTTCCATCTCCCTTGATATTCCTTCAGGCTATTGCAGAACAATCAGTTATCTGGTTTAATCCCAGCTGAGATTGGGAAGCTTTCAGAAATCCAAACTCTTGACCTTTCGGGTAATCAGTTCGTTGGTGAAATTCCAAGCTCTTTGGGTTACCTGACACATTTAAGTTACTTGTGAGTGCAACTTACATTTCAACTGTTACTCCTATTGGTTTAACACTCAGCTTGCTTTAGTTGTTTGGGTTTTAATTTTTTTATTTCAGGCGGCTCAGCAAAAACAAGTTGTCCGGACAGATTCCTAGACCTGTTGCAAACCTTAAAGGCCTCACATTTCTGTATGTTCTCCATTGCAGTGTCAAATGAATTTCCTCATTGAAGTTGTGTTAGTAATTTTATTACTAGTATTATCATCAGTTGGTTAAGTAGTGTGTTACTTTGTTAAATACTATTTTAATCTCATTTTGCAGGGACCTATCATTCAATAACCTTAGTGGCCCCACACCAAAAATACTAGCTCAAGGCTACAGGTAACATCTTAGTGAAAAGTGACTGTTTTCTCTTAATAGACGAGCTTACATTGATTTCCAATATTTAGGTGTAATGTGATTGCTTTATCCATACTGCAGTGGCCTGACTTTAGTTGACTGCCTCTAACTCTATGCTATAATTGTCCTTTATTTGGTTCAAGATGAATTTTCTGTATGTATCACTTGTACAGTTGAAAGCAACAATTGTATTAATTCTACTAGAAGATAAAATATAATTACATAATTTCCTACCCTCGAACTAACACGCGCAAATATGCTAATTGTTGCCTCCACTGTCAACTTCTATCACTACCATAACGGGCTATCTCAATCAGCAGCAATGCATTGGCACTTCTGTTGCCATTATTGGATTACCATCAATATCTGACACTGTCCAGTTGGTGTACCACCACCATTGCCTGTGCCTATGCATGCAAGTCCTTGGAGAGAAATTGAATCCCAGCAATGGTGTGTTTGACATTTGAATAGTGACTAAATCTGTTAGTATACTTGGCACTCCAAGTCTGCTATCTCAACAAAACACTTTTTAAAAAAAAAAAAAAAAAGTTCCTTGGTATACATGGTCAAGAAATTTCTCCTGCTATCTTGTTTTCAGCCATCTGATTGTGTATCTTTTTATTTCAGCATTACGGGGAACAGCTTTCTTTGCTCCGCATCATCCCCACAAGTCTGCATGGATGTTCCAAAACCAGTAAACAGTAATATATGTACATTCTGTCATAACGGTGGTTATGTTAAATTTTAGATTTTTAGTTAATTTTTTGAAGTAAGTTTCTCTTTTAAGATGCAAGTTCATACCCGAAAGTCAGCAGTCCTCGTCGATGGGTTGTTTCTGTTGTCATTGGGGTCAGTTGCACATTTGTGGTTTCTGTGATGCTGCTTGTTTGTTGGGTGCATTGGTACAGATCTCGTCTTCTATCTACATCCTATGGTACTCTCTAAATGACACTGGTTTTTTCTATTCTTATAGAGCATGTACATGATAGACACTGTGAGACTCCCTAATCATTTGAATGTGCAGTGCAGCAAGATTATGAATTCAATATTGATCATTTAAAGAGGTTCTCGTTTCGTGAATTGCAAATTGCTACTGGCAATTTTAGTTCCAAAAACATCCTAGGACAAGGTGGTTTTGGAATTGTCTATAAAGGATGTCTTCCGAACAGGACAGTAGTTGCAGTCAAAAGGCTGAAAGATCCCAATTTCACTGGAGAAGTGCAGTTCCAAACTGAAGTTGAAATGATAGGCTTAGCTTTGCATCGAAACCTTCTACAGCTATACGGATTCTGTATGACAAGTAACGAGAGATTGCTTGTATATCCTTACATGCCAAATGGGAGCGTTGCCGATCGCTTGAGAGGTTTGTTTTCAATGGGTTGATTGTTGTGGTTGCCCCCCTCCCCATCTCTCTCGTTCAAGTAGGACCCTTTCTCCCCCCAACAATATGCTGGTAGATATGTTGAATTTTCATCCATAACTTTTGTTGTTTAGACATGATTTTCATTTGTAAGGAATGCTGAAGTATATGTGTTTTTTTTCCTTCTTGATAAAACAAACAAAATGTTTTAAAAGGAATAAATAGGTTTTAAGAGTGAAAAGTACTGTCCTTTGCTTCAGAGCCTTTCCCAATTCCATGTTACGTAAACTGCAACATTTTTTATTTGAATATGTTGTTCATGTATACTCTGACTATGCATGTAAACGATGACACTATAATAGTTATCTAACAGAATTTCATCCATAGCAGGGCTTTGGATTGCATGGTGCATGTAATTATATTCTGTACCCATGGTTCTTTTTATTCAAACAAATTAAGCCAAACACTGCTTCTTTGTTCGCCATTGCTCTCTCCTTACTTCGATTTCATTCTTATTAACAGAAACTGGTGGGGAAAGGCCATCTTTAGATTGGAACAAACGCATGCACATTGCAATTGGAGCTGCTCGTGGACTTCTATACTTGCATGAACAATGCAATCCGAAAATAATTCACAGGGATGTTAAAGCTGCAAACATATTGCTGGATGAAAGCTTTGAAGCGGTTGTTGGAGATTTTGGTCTTGCTAAGCTGTTGGACTGTAGGGATTCACATGTCACGACTGCGGTGCGGGGTACTGTAGGACACATTGCTCCTGAGTATCTTTCAACTGGACAGTCATCTGAGAAAACAGATGTCTTTGGATTTGGCATTTTGCTTTTAGAGCTCATAACAGGGCAGAAGGCATTGGATGCTGGAAATGGTCAGGTTCAGAAAGGAATGATCCTTGATTGGGTAAGTAATTTCCGATGTCAACAGCACCTTGATACTTTTCCTTTTTGTGCAAAATCGTCTTGACATATTTCAACTGAATGTACCTTTCTTTAATCATAAGGTGTAAATAAACCAATGATGTGGATTCTCTAATTGGGCATTGCTTGATAAAGAAGATTGTTGAGTGATTCTCTTCACATTATGCTGGAACTCTGCTTGACTCTACAACTTAGTTGACCAATTAATTGCTAAATTTTTCCGTCAGGTGCATGTTCTTTGGTGTTTTTGCTTCCTAGAGATATTTTTCACTTCAACTTCAGTTTCCACGTTTTCCCTTCATATTTGTGTTGATTTTGCTTTGCCCCCCATCTTCTGTGGCTTTAATAGTCACTGTATAGGAGGTATGTCCCTTCAGGCAAGACTTGCTGTATATGTGACCTAAAGCAGAGTCTTGAAACAGATCCAGACTAGTTGATGTTTTACTTCTCCCATGCTGCATTTCGTCCTGGTCACCTAGGAAAACAAAATGCACTGTTGTATTCTTCGTTGTTTTGTTCTTATGCATGTCATGTTTAGAGGGCCTTAAAAATTCATCTGTTACTTCTTGGTGGAGGAAAGTGCAATAACATTTAAGCTTATAGACTGCCTGGTGCAAATGAACTACAAGATAAAAACCACCATACATTGGTTTTTATTTTATTTTTTATTCCATCAGTTTAAATAATAATATCAGTTGAATCATGTAGGTTCGAACCTTATTTGAGGAGAAGAGACTAGAAGTGCTGGTAGATAGGGATTTGAAGGGATGTTTCAATGCAGAAGAGCTAGAAAAAATGGTGGAAGTGGCTTTGCTGTGTACTCAGTCGCTCCCCAACCTTCGTCCGAAGATGTCAGAAGTCCTGAAGGTCCTGGAAAGTATGGTTGGACAGCCAGGGCACACAGAAGAACCAGTAGGTGGAAACAACCTTTCTGAGGGAAGGACTTGTAGTTTCTGTAGGAATTTCAGTGATGTCCATGAAGAGTCTTCGTTCATCATTGAAGCAATAGAGCTTTCTGGTCCTCGGTGACAGAATATGGTAGTATAATTCATGATGACTACATGCCTTCTTCCTGACTCGTTTATAGAAGTTCTGCATTTTTTGGGTAAGCTTCCTAATGGTGCAAGTGGATATCATTTGTGACTTGGTCACAAGACCCTCCAGTCCAGTACATACAGGCGAGAAATGTTAACTATAACAAGTGTAGATATTGAAACTCGAAGCATATTTCTATTAAGAAATTTTGGTCATCTTGAGTATGTATTTGTGCTACTATTTAAAGGAAGATTCAAATATTTCTTTTTGTATCATGAATACACACAAGTTTTTTTTTTTTGTTAATTTCATGTTCTTCCTCTATTTTTTTTTTCGAATGGTGCAACCAAAAAAAAAAAAAAAAAAAAAAAAAAAGCCACAATTATATCTGCGATTCTGCATGTATACTGTGCTACGACGGATGTTTTAGTATTTACGTATATTCTTTGTTACGCTTACAAAGTCACTAACTCAAGCATATTCATACTTGTTTATTTGCATTTACATATATGCACTTCAGAGTATTTTTTTTTCCCCCACTTTGGAGCTTTTGGGTGTGCTTTAAACTTACAAACCCACATTTGACCTTTTTCTTAACCTTTTATTTATTTGGTTTACTATACAAGAAAAGAAAGTGATTGCTTGCGCTCTTGCTCTGTATTTCGTGACAGTCGTCTGCACAAAATTACAAATATATATATATATATATATATATATATATATATATATATATCATAATGGACAAGAATGGTTATTTTTTATTTTTCTTTTGACGGGAAGTAGCATGTTGATCTTCTAAAGTTGAAAATATCATATATGTGTATAATAATGTTACATGAACTTGATTGATTTGGTGGGGAATAATTATAATAGCAGATCAACATTGCGTATCTTTTTTCTCTCCAAAAAATATATCACTTTGATTTTATATCAATTGCTAGGCACCACTCACGTCAGTTGCTAGCTCCTAGTCAGTCTCGTTACCAATTGAAATGGTATGGCGTGTACAATTTTGTGACACTCACAATCTAATGCTGGAGGTACCACCTTCTCTGCGTGATTGTGTGTAATCTGAAGACGGAACAATTTGGATATTTTAATGATTAGATAGATATGTGTTGAGTACACGTAGGATCGAGTCAATTGACCCATTCACATTCAGAATTGCATCAAGATACACCTAAAAATAAACATGTCCCCACATATCAAATATCCTCCCCACTTGTGTTAAAATGATCGTAACTCACCCAATGCCTTTCTAACACGTTTACCTTAAAAATAAATCAATAGAATGCAACACCTATTAACACATAAGATCAAGGTAATAATAAGTGCACGGCCTTTACATCTGTTTTTGTAATATGAGGTGGCGAGTCAATAAGGTACGTATTGAATTTGACGTGATTTTGTATTGGATGAGAATTGTAAATTGTGAAATGCATAGTTTGCAGTTGCGGTGTCGTTCATGATTATGATGTAAACAGATTCAGATGAATAACAATTTAAACGATTGAATCGATCCGTTTATAAACATATGTAACGATATCAAATTTAAAAAAAAAAAAACGAACAGATCAATGTGTCAACATAAAAGTTTATTGGATCTGAGTTGAGCTAAGGTAAGATGGTAAATTTCAGTAGTCCATTAAGTAGAGCCCAAGTGTCCAACACCAACATCAAACGATGGAGAAAGCGTTAACGCCCATCACGGCAGTTATGAATCAAGCATTAAAAGCGTCACATCAACTTACCAATTCCAGGCCCACACCTAACCCCTGCAATGAGTTCGTTAATGGATGACGAGAACTCCGTGACTCTTAATTCTATCTCCATATATATCTATCCATTTTTGTCCTCCTTAACACGTCCCAAATTACTATCCACTGTGTATCATTGTATGTATCTATATATTTATTCACAGGTGCATTTACATCTCTAAATTTGAGTAGCACTACTACTATACATATTTATCAAGTATTAATGTTATCAAGCTGTTTTCTTCGCCTAACCCAATGCCAGTGCGGTGCCCCCAATAAACCTAGAGAGAGAAATGGGGGTCAACAGAAGGACGTGCTGTAGTTGAACTGAAGCCAAGCCCTAGATCTATAGTAGATCTCAGAATTCTATAGATTTATTGTCATGGAAGTAAACGGGCTTATTCTTCTTCGCAAGTGTCGTGTAGTGATGGGTCAATCTCAGCGTGGAAGCGAAGGAAACCATGGAGTGCGGGTTGGTGCGATCTAGAATATATGTTTAAGTATTCCAAAAGGCCAAAAGGTTCGACTTCATTAGTCGCTTCATAATTTTTGTGATTTAGTTCGCTAATTATCCTCTAATCAAGTTTAGAATTTGATTTTTTTTTTTTTTTTAAGTACTTGGAAGTTTGATCTGGTTGAGGTAGAACTGAGGCCGATCACTTTGGTGGTTGTTCTCAATTTGAAGATAGAATGTCAGCTATATGATTGATTGATTATATATGTATATGCAATATGGATTGTTTGGATTGTGAAGTTTTTAAATAATATTGGGATTTATTGATTGATTGATCGAAGAAGTCATGGATCATGAAACGCATGACCAAGAACGAATCAGTGAGTCTGTGGACTCAGTTGATTCAGTTAATTCAGGGGCCGGTGAGAATTCAAAGATTTTGGTTGATGGGGTTGTGTCTGAAACTGTAGTTGTGATAAAATCCGACGAGGAAGAGGCCTCGTGCGTCGGTAGAGAAAATGGAGATTTGATTGTGAAGGCAAATGTTCCGGGATCGAGTAAGGTATCAGTGGAGGAGCCAAAGATAAAGGTTTTACCTGAGGAGAAGCATTCCTGTGTGATTGATGTGAAATGTGGAGGTGGAGCACTTGGTGAGAATTTGGATGGGGAGAGGGTTTGTAGGATATGCCATTTGAGCTCTGATCAATCATCAGAAACTACTACTGCTACTGTGACAGTGATTTTAATTCATCTTGGTTGTGGTTGTAAAGATGAGCTTGGAATTGCACATTCTCATTGCGCAGAGGCCTGGTTTACCCTAAAAGGGAATAGGTAACTGCTCTCTTTCTTTTGACTGACAAGGAATTTTATTATGTGTTGCTCAGATTTTGTGGAGGAAATATGTATTGTTTCATTATGAGTATTTTTATTTTTGCTTGATTGTTTTATTTACTTATTCTATGTTCTCTATTTTACTTGTTTTGTGTGGTATTCTTTTTCTTTTCTTTTTTTCACTTCCTTTTTTTTGGTTTTGTGTGTATGTCTAATTTTTTTTTTTTCCTAGTTGGTACTCACGTGCACATCTATCTTATGATGCTTGAACCCTGACCTTCCTTTGGGAAGCAAGAGGCTGATACCGCTAGGCCACTTACCTGTTGGTGTGTGTATGCGTAATTTTGGTGTCATGGACTGGGTTTTGTCATCAATTAGTTTAATAATTGATGAAATATGTACTATGGTATTATTCACAGGAAATGTAAGAAAACTTTTTAAATTTTTAGTATGGCCTCTAAATTTAGTTTGAAATTTAGACAAGAACAAGTGATTACCTTAATTAATATAATAGCTTCACCTTAAAAGAATTCAATTCTATATCCGTTACTCTGCTAAAAGAATAATATTCTAATTGAATTCGTCATGGTTGGCTTAGATCTTTTTGCCGTTTTGGGGAGCATCTTGGCCTTAACTTCTGCTTTGGTTGGTTCCCTCTCCTCCTACATCATCAGAGATAGTGCCACATCTGCAATTTCCTGGCAACAAACAGTACTTGAATTGAGAGGAAACATTTACACCCGAACTGAGTGTTGTCGTGGTTCAGTTCCTGTTTTCTAAATCAAATTGAAATGAAAAATATACAAAAGATGGGACCTAATCTTTTTTGAGAGCTCATAAAAGATCTTACGAGTTATATGAACAATGTAGAAATAAATGGGAACCCATTGATTAATAGTTTCTTTTTTCTGTATTTCTTACAATAACATCTTTTAACTGTGTTTTATGTAAAGGAGGGGGAGGAGATCTATAAATTTTGAGAATTTTGGCTTCTCATTTAGTATTTTCACTATAACTATCATATATAGAGCAACAATAGCATATTTTTCATTGAATGACTGGGATTTTATTGCCACTGTTGGTATGTTTAAGGACAATCAGTTTCAGTTAACCATGTGCTTCTTATACCAGTGCAAATCTGCCTCTCAGATTTTACTCAAGACCCCCAATCTTGAGGAGAATGCTTTTTTTCTTTTTTCCCTAGCATGTACAGACATGGTTCTGCATAGTGTCAGAATTTTTGCTTATCGCCCAAGCTCGGGTCCAATACTCATGGGTATATCGGTTGGAATTTGAATCACATCAGACTCAGCTGAGTCCCTTTGGACTCGTCCAAGTCCCTTGCGACTTGGCCAAGCCTTGTTTAGCCCCTTTTTGTCCCTAGCAACTTGGCCGAGGCAACACATCTAATGGTGTGAAAGATCAAGAAAATTTCGTGACCATTGTTTTCGATAGTTGATACTATTACATAACGCTAGTTATGCCCTGCGTTTGTTACGCCGCGGCTTCAGACCATGCGTATAGTTGCTTTTTAGCTACAATACTAGGAGAATCTTTTTCTTGGCCAATGCATGCAAATTCCACTTGAGGACTTATTATTCTTCTCTCTTAATTTCCTTAAATTGAATATGTGGGAATTTTGAATTATATCTAATTTACTATTACCTGGACAAGCCCTTTTATTCTTTATCTTTTAGATTTCGATAAAACCAGGAATAAGCTTTTTATTATATTTGAATTAGATGATTTAACTGTTGCTGGTTTTTAATTGAAGATATTTTTTGGCAGAGGCTGTTAATATATATTTATTTGAGGGAGGGAGGGTCCTTCTTTTATAATACTTTCCATTAATTGAACCGGTTATGCGCATATCTGTTCTTGTACAGCTCATATGTTCCAAGCATCTTCTCTCTGCTTTATTTATTTGGAAATTTTGATGCATTTTTTTTTTTTTTTAATATTGTTTGTATAATGTACACAAGTAATAACTCAATAATTTCATAGGTTTTTTATTATTTGCAAAAATACAATGGTTATCCTAATATTTACATGTAAATTGAAACTTGTCGAAGATGAGAGTCTACTGTTTAACATGTCAGCATGCTATATCCTGTCCATATTTTAGTTTTCATGGTAGATTTGTCTCTTTGAGATAGAAATTAGCCATGGCTCGAAAGTGTAGGACATGTAGGTATGTGCTAATTAGCTTAGTAAATATTTGAAGGTGGGTCTTGGCGCAAAGGTAAGGTTGTTCCATCATGAGCTGGAGGTTATGGGTTTGAAACCAAAAAGAGGCCTCTCCATGCGGAGGTAAGGCTGTGTATATTTGACCCCTCCCCAAGCTGCATACTGTTGAGAGCCTCGTGCACACTGCTAGCCCTTTTTTTTTTTTTTTTCTTTTTTACTCTTGCACGCATGCATGCTGCTGAAAGTGCAGGCAGTTTTTGAACTCGTGAAATTGGAGGAATGGGAAAATAATGAAAACACTTGACTGTTCAATGTCAATTGCCAAATTTCATGGGTTTAAATTGGCTGTGTTCTGACAAGTTCAAAGTCTCAAAAAAGTGGTTGCTTCTTCTAGTTTTGCTTGAAAGCTAATAAGAAATATTTTAAATAAATATCTTATTTTTTTTACTCTTTATGCAGAATGTGTGAAATTTGTGGCGAGACTGCAAAAAACGTTACAGGTGTTGGGGATAACAGATTCATGGAAGAGTGGAATGAAAGATCTGCTGGTAGTGGTACTAATGCGTCAGAAAGGGGTGGAGGTTGTTGGCGAGGACAACCATTTTGTAATTTCTTGATGGCATGCCTGGTAATAGCATTTGTGTTGCCATGGTTTTTTCGCGTAAATATGTTTTAACTGAAGCAAATGAATTGAAAGATATTTACCATTCATCATCATTTTTCATGCCTACTTCTGTATGCTGATGCATAATGTTGATTGTTGGGTGTCGTCGGATGCTTAAAGGAAGTCCAATTGTAATATCGCTCAGCCATTCCCTAAAGAAGTTACACAGGCGCGATCCGTATTCCTCAGCCATGAAGATCCAAGGGTTCAACTATTAAAAGTTAGGCTGGCTGTGATAGTGTAGGCAGTCTATCTTTTTTATATTCTGCCTTGCAGTTGGCATATGGCATAGGTTCCAAACTATAGGTTCCAAATGATTGTTAGGCCGAGTCGGTGAGTGAGTTTCTCTTCTTCCCTTAGTTTTCAATCCTTAGGTTATTCTCAGTTTGGCATGCCATTGTTGTTCTGAGAGTCTCCCTGTACAAATGGAAGTTGCTACGGATTCATTCAATATTTATGTTTAGTGAAATAAGCATCTTAAATTTTTGTTTCCTCTTGGTTGCTGGCTGAGCTTAAGAGAATTCTTTTGTGTACTTGGTAGGTAATATAACTTCTCTGTTTTTCTTTTTCTTTTTTCTATTTTTCTTTTACTTTTACGGTTGTTACATTAGTGCATGTTTTTATCTGATGCACAAGCATGACTCTTGAAAGAATGTATCAGATTCTGATATGAACTGCTGGTATCAATAGGATTTTATCACGAGTTTTTAGTTTATTACATGGCTCAGAACCAGAATGTGAAACTATTGTACTTAAAGTAAAACATTAGGAGGCATTAGGAATAGTTGCAAACTTGGGTAGTACTTTAATTAAGGAATAAGAAAATTAGGATTTGTTGAAATGGTGAAAATTGTTGGAAGGAAGAGGTCCTATGTCTTTCAGTCTGGCTTCTTTAAACAGGCAGCTGATGAAGAATATAAATGGGCTGAGGAACAGTGCAAAAGGCAGAATCTACTCACCTCCTACTCCAATAAGCATTTAGTACTGAGTTATGAGCTAAATTCAGCAAAGAACAATGCTTCAGAACCCCGAGATGAGAGAATCGTTTGAATGTAATGTAATAGCTTATCGAGGTCATGTTCATGTGTGATTGTAACAATGGTTATGAAAATCTTGATGCTCATCTGATAAATAACAAAGAAAGGTCCAGGAATGAAGAGTTCTCAATGTTGTAGCCTACACATCTGGCAGTTCAAACTTTAATCACTGCAACAAGGTTCCCAACTCTCTTAAGTAAACTTGAATCTTCTATCCTACTTATGGAAACAATCTTTCCAGAGCAAGCTGTGAATCTTGGTAAAAACAACTGTGCATTGCATTTTGTTTGAGATATACATAAGCAAAATGACTCTCAATGCTTTGTTGATGAAATCATGAACAAGACTCCTAATAACAGCCAACAGGCTCTGCCTGTACCTCTATCCAAATAGGACCGGGTTTGAGTCCCTGCAATGGAATCTTTATTATTGTTGTCATCTTTTATCGAACATGTTCCTTTCAATAAGTTCCATCTTGTAATCATTTTTTAGGGTAAAGTGCATTAAACCCCCCCTGAGCTATGGGGGGTTTTGCAACTAACCCCCTTGAATTACAAAAAAACTTCTTGAACTTTCACTTATTTGCAATTTGCCCACTCAGGCCACCGGAAAAGATAAAAGACAATTTTACCCTTATTCAAAACTACATCGTTTCTATTTCCCTCTCTCTATTTCTCTATGTGTGTATATATTATAAATATATGTATATAATATATATATATATATATATATATACATATATATATAGACACAGAGAGGAGAGGGAGCACATCGATCTCGCCGGCCAGTTATAATGCCACCTCGTTCATGTTGTCGTTGACCGGCGACACCGACGGCAAGCAGCCGTCGTCCTCGTCGGCGTTCCAGATCACCAACATGTCCCATGTGTCCTGCGAAGAACAGAAATAAAGGCGGCAGAGACCCGGGCGGCGGAGATGGACCATCATGGCCGAGTCCTCACCGGACGACCTTTTCATAGTCGACCTCTTCACAGCGGCAAACGACGAAAGCAGATCTGACATCCCAAAGTTGTTGACGGCGCAGACGGTGATGGACTCCCGTAACTCCTTGTGCCACACCCAGCGCGTCCTCACCGCCTCACCAATAACTCCTTGTGCCGTTGTCCTCTGTCCTCGTCGGCGCCGTTTCTGGGTTCGACGGCAACAAAAAACCGTACCAGTTGCAGAGTTCGTGATTTGGGGATTTTTTTTATTTTTTATTTTATTTTTGGTTGAATATTATTTGGGGAAATTTGGCAAAACCATAATCAATTTCATTTTTTCGGCTAGGGTGGATTGGTTGGGCAGAATGGTGACTGTGGAGGTTTTGGGTGGAGAGTGGTGATGGTTTTAATTGGTTGAAGGTGGTGGTGGACTGGTGGTTATGGGTTGAAAGCTTCGGACGGTGGAAAGGATGAAGGCGGCCTCGGCGGTTTCGGCTTTGGATGATGTCGGCTGTGATGCAGTGGCAGTGATGGACCGGCGAGGGCTCGGCCGTGAGGAAGAAATGCGGCGGTGGAGTGGACCGGCCGGCAAGGATGAATCCAAGCTTTTTGTTCTGTAAATGGGTTTTGATTTTTTAATTTTTTAATTTTTTTGTAATTTTGAAATTTTCTTGTTCTGTAAATGGGATGAATCCAAGCTTCTATGCCTTGAATCGTTTCAATTCTAATGCCAAAGGACCGGTCACGAGCATCTGTAAAACATACAACATATATATATATATATATATATATATATAGATGTATACATATATTGGCAGATATATACTGCACAGATCGATGAGGGAGACGGACAAAACGTTAGGGCTTGTTTGGATACTAGTTGGGTTCAAATGTCTTTAAAGGTTATTATGGTCTTTTTACATTCCATAAGGGCTCTATGGTCATTTAGAGAAATATGGGCTATCGCATGGTAGAAATCCATCGGCCGGTTGCCGGATTGGGGTAAAGTGCAACCAAACAACATACTTCAGGGGGGTTTAATGCTACTTTAAGGTATAGTTGAAGGGGGTTTAATGCACTTTACCCCATTTTTTATTGGATTTTAGTATTATACATTCAGTTCTTAGCCTTTATAAATAAAATTAATTTACGAAGAGATGTAAATAACAATTCCGTTGTAGTCTAGTTGGTTAGGATACTCGGCTCTCACCCGAGCGACCCGGGTTCAAGTCCCGGCAACGGAAACCTTTTTTGTGTTTTTATTTTTTCCATTTTTGCAATTCAGCCTTGTTCCCAAGGGCATTATGGTCATTTAAATCATTCACCAATAAAACCCTAGCGAGTAGCTTCACCTCCTCGTTCACGATCTTTTCATCTTCCGTCTCTCAGAGCTTTTCTCCAGTCTTCACAATGGTATCTCTCCCTCTCCTTTTTCTCTCTTTTTATATGTATATACAGTATACACACACTTACGCATATATATATGTATATATATATATCTACTAACTGAGTTGATGTGAATGTCAGGCTTCAGAGAAAAAGCTCTCTAACCCCATGAGAGAGATCAAAGTTCAGAAGCTCGTCCTCAACATTTCCGTCGGCGAAAGCGGCGATCGTCTCACCCGCGCCGCCAAGGTCTCTATCTCAAAACTCTCCCTCTCTACTCAATCTTCTCTTATACTGACCCATTTTTTTCGATTTCCACTTATTAGGTTTTGGAACAATTGAGTGGCCAAACCCCTGTCTTCTCCAAAGGTATATAAAAATTCTACCTTTGATCCATTCAATTACAAATATTATCTTCTGAATTTGACGGTCTGTTATGTTCATCCCCACAGCAAGGTACACCGTTCGATCATTCGGAATCAGGCGTAACGAGAAGATTGCGTGCTATGTCACTGTAAGAGGCGACAAAGCCATGCAACTTTTGGAGAGTGGGTTGAAGGTTAAGGAATACGAACTTCTTAGGCGCAACTTCAGTGACACTGGCTGCTTCGGTTTCGGTATTCAAGAACACATTGATCTCGGCATTAAGTAAGTCAGCATTGTATATTTCTTTGATAATGAATATATATGTGTATGATCTATTTTATTGCAGTTTTTAGACAAACTTTGCATGAATTTTATTCTTCCTGTGATGAGTCTCCAATTGGGTATTATTTGATTCATAACGTTGATTGGGAAATACTCATGTGGTTGATGTATTACTGAATTTCTAGAGTTAATTTGGGTTCTTATTGTCATACAGTTTGTCAATTGGAGTGTTGAAGTGTAGTGTGATTTCACATCTAGGTTTACACGGAACTTCTGCTTGCAATGAATCATGAGTGTGCGGGGTTGTTGAATTAAGTTAAACCTTAAGGCGTTCCTAGGCTTTTTGCTCGTCAATGCTCAGCTAGAGTGCCTCAACTTACTTACGGGCCAAGCCCTTTCAATCAGGCTACGCCTTGTATTTTTTTAATCATTTATTCATATCAATTTTTTATTTATTTAATGACTACTAAATTAAAAGGTTCTATATAGTATATTGTATTGTTTAACCTTTTGAAATATTTGAAAAAATTCATAAATTTATGGTACACTACTTACTAACTGCAGTTAGTGCTTGATTTTGAATATATATAACAATATATGGTTAAATATACATTATTATCGTACATGCTGTCCTTCAATTGTTCCCCTGCCTTATATTGTTCTTTGTGCTTAGGCTCTGGAAGGCTTTTGGGCGCATCAGTGCACCTTGAGCCTTTAACAACCGTGTATGGGAGAATATCTTGTATACCGTCTCGTGTACCAATTCTTAGGTGCCTTGATGCAGTTGTTTGATATTTAAATTTTGAACTAGCTACATGATTGCTATGGCCATGAGTTGATGCATTGCTCTGTTGTATTTATTTATCTTCCATGATCTCTGCATATTAGGTGCAGTAGTGTTTGACACTTGTGATGCAAATAAATCATGGGGATTAGGTTGATGTTGAATAAATCATCTCTTAAATAAATATTCCGATATTATCAGTCCGAGTCTTTTGGCTGATAACTGGTTTGCTAGGAAGTTTCACATCTTCCATCTCGTATAGCCTTGCTGCCAAAGTTGCCAAAGCACGGTGGTAACAGGCATCAAGATGGTTTAGACAGGAGTGAGAACAATGTTGTTTACCCTAAAAAAGAAATTATGGACGATATTCTTCCTTCAACAATTAGCTCTTTAAGTAAATGTTAGACTCCATACAGAAAAATGGGCACCTAACACCTCACATCATCTTAGTACTTAATGGAGACAACTTTGATTGAGATTAACTGTGTTACATGGTTTCAGTTATCTGCCACTCTGATTGAGATTAACTGTGTTACATGTGCACACCTGTTCCTCCCTAATGCATTTCTAAATGTTGTTAAAGTTCATCCAATAACCATGTATTGCTGCTGAAAATCATTTCATTTTTAGAGTTATATTCTGTAGAAAATTTTAATTATAACTATGATGTTTTTGATTAATATGATTCCTGTATGATGCTGGTTCATTGATGAAATCCTTGGTAATTTGTAATGGAAAATCTATGTGGTGAATGATAAGTAGCATGAAGTTCAGACATTTTTCAAATCATAACTCAACTAACTTGTTTGATTAAAACAATCTCCGTGCACTTGGAAAAGAGGCCCCATGTTGAAAAGATGAAGTTTGTGTGAGGTTTATGGGCATTTAATTCAGGTGGAGCTTAAAATGGATGAAATGATATGCAGGAATTGTGATTCATCTGATTTAGAGGACAGTTCGTTTTGCTATTATAGGAAGGATTTCATGTTAGAATTGACTTTTTTTTTTTTTTTTTTTTGCCCCTTTTGATTTATTTTGCCAGGTACGACCCTTCAACTGGTATTTATGGGATGGACTTCTATGTGGTTCTAGAACGCCCAGGGTATCGTGTGGGTCGTCGCCGTAGATGTAAGTCCACTGTTGGGATCCAGCATAGAGTTACAAAGGAGGATGCAATGAAGTGGTTCCAGGTCAAATACGAGGGTGTGATCCTCAACAAATCTCAACAAATCGGTGGTTAGGGACTTTTCTACACTGGTTAGATTGTAGTTCAGCTTTTATGAAGCTGAATTTTATTTTCTGTTTCCCTTATAATTTGCAGTGGTTCACATTTTTGTAGTAGTACCATATTTGGTGTTTTTCATGCTTGAACACACCTTTTGCTTTTATATGTGGGAGTAGATCAATCCTATGTTTTGTGGTTTTTGAAACTGTCACTACCTCAACTGTTTTTCTGTAGTCGCTCAATGTCATTCTATAGTCTATAGTCAGCTCTTACAATTTGGTTAAAAAATCAATTATAGCAGTTATAGGTTGCTCCTATTTTAATGGAGCATTAAAAATCTAAAATCTTAAGACAGAAATACCCTTTAACAAATTATATAGATATGTATCACTTACCCAATCAAAACATAATTTCTATATAATTTTTTATTTATTTATTTTGGAGACCATCCCTAATGGGATGGGCCCCTCCAAAAATGGGCGTATGCCACTATTTGCGGCGCGCACACGGTCTTCTTTAGTAAAAGGCGAAAGAATAGTTGGTGAGGGTCGCTTCGTTCTATATAATCTATTCAATCTCTACCGTCAAATAACCAAAATCTCGGAGTACTTTTTAATTTCTTGTGAATGAATACCTTTTCTTTCTTTCTTTGTTTTATTTATGTATAATTGTTTCCTTCCTTTATTTTTTCCGGTCGCGAGTTCCCTTTATTTATTTTTTCAGTGGTGGCCATTTTAACTTAAAATATGTACAGTTGAGGTATGATGAATTCACACCGAGCTTAAGCAAATATATTCTTTACATATATATAATTTTATACTTTAAATGTGGATTTTTATAATTATAAATCTTAATTGAAGTAAAATTATAAAATTGAGTTTTGAATTTTGAAATAAAATTGTGGTGAGGAGGAAAATCTTTTTTTTAAAAAAGTAATGTTTTTAATGTTTTAAACGAGTAATCAATGAAAGTAAAAATGACAAATAATTAAAGTAAAAATAACAAATAATGACGGCGAGGGTCTAAGGACGGCTTTAAACGTGCTTGTGTTGGAGGGCAACTATTGATTTCTATTTGCCGTAGAGAGCTTGATATTGTCCAATTTTAGCAGCAGATAACTGGTTGGAGTTTTGTTTATTTATGTAGGATATGTTATTATCGGGAAGTCTCTAGGTTTCTTGTAGTGATCCATTTTGTCATCTTCTTTCTTTCCAATTAAGATCAACTTTACCTTCGTTTCATGTCATCAATCATGTTACACAACCATTTATCTAAAAAAAAAATAAAAAATTATGTTACACGACAGCAACATAAACTAGTCACAAGCATAATTTGTTTGTTTTTTTTAAGGGATGTGACCAATTCCAACAATCAAACCTTGATTTCTACGTTCTACCAACTGTCATTTAATTGTCTTTCTTCAAGATTTTCCCAACCATTTTAATGTATAATCAATAATGATGACACAATCAAAACCATTGACAAATTCACTTTATATACTTCTATTTACATTTACAGACTCAAGTTCTAGAATATCAACAATAGCAAACAACAAATTAATTGAATCAAAACTAAGAACAGAAAGGAAAACAATGAATCAAGAGGACCTTCATCCTCATCATCTAACTGCAGACGCAACAGTATGAGCCCACCATTTAAGACTATCTTTCATATCAATTTCATTAACCACGTTAGGAGGAATTCTCCAATCCATCAATCTTTTCTCTGTGTTTCTTCTCTCCCAAATCTCCCACGCTTCAGAAAGATACGGTCTTCGAACTGCAGATTCATCAGAAATACTACTCCTCGCTTCTTCTTCACCATCTTTTTTCTTTGCCAACCTGTGCAACCCAGGAATGATCTCAACCAAACTCGAGTCCTCATCATCTTCAGAGAACACAAAACCCAAGTCCATAAACCCTTTTAGCTCCTCAAACTCAAGGTCTGACAAGCTCTTGCTTCCACGCTTCTTTCTTCTTCTTCTCTTATCTGTAGCTTTCTTGGGTGGTGGTTGTTGTTGTTGTTCTTCAATAATTGAATACTCTTGTTGGAAAGCTTCTTTACCTGAGAGGATGGTTTGGAGATGTGGTAGGGAGATGATTGAATTTGAAGAGGGAGAATCAGAGTTGAAGCTTGTTTTTGAGCAAAGTTCATCACTTTTGGACCTGACAAGGATTGTTGGTGGCCTCGAAATTACTGGTTTTTGTGGGTTTTGGTGATTTTGGAGAACTGGGTTTGTTTCAGAATTTGATGGGTTCTTGAAGATTTCATAAATGAACCAGCATGAATCAAAGAGGTTCATAACTTCTTCGGGGTCCATAAGGAAGAAAAACAGATAGAAGGATGTCGATGATATGAGAATTTTAGCTACTTATGAGATATTTATATTAGATTTGTTGACAGAATTACCCTTCAAATCTGAAACACTTCTAACGTTTTGAATTTTCTTTGTTTACGTGGGTTGGTTTGTTTCAGGAAAGTTCTATATTAAAATGGAAAGAAATGACATTTGTATTTGCTTCGAAGGTGATCCATTTGACTGCGGGACAAACATGACTCACTATAGATGTCACTATATGCAACTAGATGATGCTTATCGCTATTTATTTATTATTATTATTATTATATTTCAACACAATTAAGACATAAAAATTTTGAAAATAAAAATATTAGAAAACAACAAATTTTTGCAGTTATTGCAGCTTAATGACTTAACCTTACAACAAAATTTTAAGCCTGTCCGTATTATAAATTGTTTTTCTTTGAATTTATAAATTTGTTTATTTTCTTTATAATTTCTTAACTAATTATTATTGATTGTCAATTCATATGAAAATTTTGTAATCCAAACAACTCAAAGAAAATTCTAAATACTCAACCTCATTCTATTTTTTATTTTTCATAGTCTCTCAAATTGGACTTGTATATATGTAGCTAAATGTGTAACATGTTTTTTTTTTCTTCTCTGGGCAAAAAAAAAAAAAAATCACACATGTATTAGCTTCTTTGAAAACTTGAACATTCATCTTCTACTTTGAGAGCTAGAGAAAATATTAATGTTGGAACTAATGCAAAAACAATCATTAATTTATTAAAGGGTCTAACACTTTCAAATTACTGTAATTATCTTAACTTTTTAAAGTGAAAAGTTAATAGTTGAAGTCCTATAAAACAAAATAGATAGGTATATTATTTGTTAATTTGGAAAAAGAAAAAAGGCAAATAGATGCGAGGAGGGAGAAGTTCCTTCATATTTATTGCTAACAAAAGAAAAAATATAAATTAATATATAAATACTCAATAAATAACCAAGGGCTATGTCTCCAGGGGCATAGTGATTTTGGCAGGGATTGAGGGGGTAAGTATTGAGGTCTTATTTTCGAATTGCACTCTTAACTTAAATGAAGCGTGTGTTGTGAGACCGATATACGGATTCTAAGAAAAAAAATAAAAATAAAAAAATAACCAAAGACTATATCCTAGTCTTACCAAATATATAAATACACTATTAATAACCAAGTCTTGTTTCCTCACTTTATTGTTATAGTAGATTTTTTATTTTTATTATTATATTTTTTTTGATTACTTGGCAATAGTTGGTGGGATTAGGGAGTTAGATGTTAGAAGGGGAGGAAAAATGATGTTGGTGAGTTTCGAATATAATCAAAAGTTCCAAACAATACACGCCTTGTCACTGGATTAGCATCGCACCTGCATAAAACTTGTTCAAGTCTTGGTTAATATAAAGTAAGTGTGAGTTTTTTTTTTTTTTTTGGTAAAATAAAAAATATACATAATAAAGAAAGTAATTTTTTTAAAAAGACAACATCTACATTCATAAAGTGTGAACATTAATAGATTAATCACAATCGATGTATGACATTATGAATTATAATCCCCTCCTTATGCACCAAGTATCGCATAACATGGTCCGAAATTATATAATTTCAATTAATCATTTCTTAAACACAAATGAAAATATAAATAATTTCTCACAAAGAAGAACGGTTAGAGGCTGCTATGTGTTTGGAAAGAAATAGTCAACATTTCTCTTGTCAGTTGTCACCAAAATAAAAAATGAAAGAAAAAAAAAAACAGGAAAAGGAAAAGGATAGGGCTGATGGAACTTCTTTAATAGTGGTTGTGTAAGAAATTTGACACTTGTGTGGAGGGTGATATGGTCAAGATATTGTTTTCACGGATATTCTTATGGCATATAAATTTGGACAGTCAAAAACCGATGGCACTGACATTTCTGCCACGCGTCCATGAATGTCAAGCAACCTTTTGACCCTACTACTCCTACTGTTCTCTACACCTTCATCTTATCTATATATTTTTTCTTACCACATCATCATAAAATGCACAATGGGGTCTCACTTGAACAAAAAAAAAACCCACGTGTTTATTTTAAATCACGTGATTCACATTTCTCTTGATTTGTTTATTTAATTAATATATTCATAATGCCTTCTTTTTTTCTTTTTTGTCAATTTTTCAAAATTTTAATTACTCAATTTACCCGTAAGACATATTTGAAGAAAATTTTTAAAAACAATTATTATGTGTTCAGTTGTATGAAATTCTAAGACATTAGTTTTAAAATTCCATACAACATATAGTTATTATAAGATTGTTAATACTAGTAATAATATTATCACATGAATGAAATAAAATTATAATGTGACAAATAAAAACAAATAAAAAATAACAATAGTCTTCAACATGCACAATGGGATTGTAATGTTGTTCTTCATATTATTGTAGTAACATTGGACCAGAGACTAGATTCTCATCTGGTATACCAATTTGAGAGGGCACCAAACAGCTTGGAAACAGTAAATATATATATATATATGTGTGTGTGTGTGGGGTCCAAAGGAATAAAAGGTGTAGAACAACTAGTCAGACCATCCCTTCCTGCGTTTTGGGTCGAGAGACTCAAGACGTACCCATGCATGCTGCTTTTCTCTCCAGTCAACCGCCATGTTCCATGTAGCTAACTCTGTGTTTTTTTTCTCCAATCTTTTGTACCTGCTGAGGGATTCGATTTTGCTTTCTTGGTGGATTTTACAAGGAAAAAAAAAAAAAAAATGAAAAACAAGAAAAATACAAATTTTGTGAAAGTACTATGACCATTCTATATATTCAAAAAAAAATTACATTCTTTACTTTTAAGCTGCGTTAGGTTATATGAAATTAGAATTGATGAAATTTGAGAAATTAGTTCAATTTTGTGAATTACTTTCTCCAATTTCACTAATTTCAATTTCATGTAGCAAAACATAGCCTTAGAGTTTTTAATATCGCTAAATACACATTTAGTTAATGGTCCAAATTGATTGATGTCAAACGTTACTCACAGGAACTTAGAACCATATATACTAGAAGTAGAATTTTTTGTGTTACATGGCGCAAATTCAACTATATTATAAATCTCGTAATATGCATTATCTGTACAATATGAAGAAAATTTATAAATAAGATTATCATGACATCAAACTCCATAATTTTTTTTTTTTTTCAATCATCTAATTGACTAAAAACAAATACAAAAGATACAAATAAATCGTAACCTATAAACAAACATGATCATCTTAGCCTTTTTGCACTTTTTGTTTTTGTTTTTGGGTAGGTAAAACAAAACCTTTGTGCACATTGTCAGTTGGACAAATGACCATACTTAATTAGTTTTATTGATCATATTTTATTCCCAATTATCAAAGAATTACCTGAGAAGAAGAAAAAGAGGATGGCATTAGAGATCAAAACCTAAACCATAAATAAGAATAGTGAAGCTGAATACGAGTATTAGACTATTAGTAGCTAGTATAACATGTATAATCTGATCTGAAAAAAAAAATATATATATATATATATATGTATATGGTCTTCATAGATATTAATTAAGCAAGTCATACCTTGAAATGGTGGATTCAATTACATAAAAGTAATTGGATGGGAGCGCTATATTATCAGTATCATCGGGATGCCCAATAATTTCTCGTCTTGAAGACTGTACAACATGAATTGCCGGGCAAATCTCCTTTGGCAGAGAGCCTACTAGTCTGCCTTGTGATATTAATCCAAGTGCAGTCGAGTTGCCGTCTGACAAAGGAGTATCTGCCCAGTAATGCATCCATACACAAGACTCACTTCGTCGATGAATAGCTTCAAGGATTGAAATCAATTTATAGGTCTTGATAAAAGTCTGGAATTTTCCGCGCAAATAGCATATTCTAAGCACATCCACTATTTTTTTTTTTATAGAGAACAAGTGGTCCTGTTTAATTTATCCAGAGACAGCCTCATCACTTTGTTCTCTCATTTACCAAAATTTGTTAGATAAATGAAAATTCTTTCTCCACAAAGGGGTGGAATGAAAATTAAATTTGATTATATAATTTTTGAAAATATAATTCATTGGAGGCTGGGGATCGATGGATGAAACAATGCTGTTTATGACACATTTTATTCCTTTGTGACTTTTTTAAATGTGTCAAATATGTGTGCATGAGCTGGTTATGTTGATAATAAATTTATATGCTTCGATTAGAAGTTCAAATATTGTGTTTATATCTAATGTTTTCAATGTGTTGTGTTATTAATGCATGGATACTACTCTATGTAGGGTACTGTAATACATTTACATTATTGATCGAGAATAGTTTGGCGATCCAATAATATACAAAAATATATTAAATTTCATTAAAAAAAGTTTTCCTTTGAACATGAGAAATTAAACCATAATGATTCTTTCTATGGAGTTTAATTCTGTTAACTATTTAAGCAATCTAGCTAACTGGCAACTCACACTCACACTGTTCCATATATAATAATTATGAGATACCATGCATAAATTGATTAGCGAAGCAATATTGTAATCCAGAAAATTATAAAGCAAACTTGTTTTGTTAAAATGAAAATTGAACTGAATATACAATATATATTAATGAATTCTTGAAATACCATTTAAAGACATCAGTTGCTTGTTGCCTCCTTTTTGCTTTTTTTTTTTTTTTTTAATGCTTGTAATGCTAAATAATATTGTCCTTCCTGACCCTTTACTATCCAGAGACACACCAGAACTAGTTGAAAGTATAAAAGCCTTGAAAGAAAAGTATGATATCAGAAGGTAGTGTGCCTCACTTTAATGATCTAGTGGATCAATACCTGCCTGTCGGAAGAAAAAAGATAAAAGAGAGAGAAAAACAAAAAAATCATAAAAAGATGAGGAGAGAAAATGTAAATATAAGAGCATATTCAAAAGATCCAATGGCATGTTCTTTCCTTTCTCCTCCATTTCTATTCCATTCTTATCTCCATTTGGAGCCTCAGATACAAGT